TTTCCATATGGCCACAAATGGGAGTTCTTTGTGTTAAGGTTTTAGAGCGATGACGACGTCTTCTATTTATTGGATCCATTTTGAGCAAAAAATTAATTTTATAGGAAAATTAGATTACCCAAAAGTTAGGGACTTAATCGGAATAATTATACGTTAAGATTCATTATTATAATTTAAAATTATTATGAAAGTGGAGGATAGATTCTGATTGTATGTGATGATTTCGGATAGAACTTCCATATTTTTATCTATCTTATCATTTAGACTGTTTGAATCAAATATGATACCCATCATATATTTCAAAATCTTTCTAATCTAAATTTATTTTATTATATATTTAATCAATTTCAAAAACCTATGTAAGTTAGAGTGGCTTGATAGAGCTTTCTATGCCTTATGCCAAGAAGGAAGAAGGTAAGACAAAATTTCAAACTAAATATTGGAATATAAATTCATAAATTACAAATAAATTTCATTTCTTAATTTTTGTATTTTAAACTTATAGCTTATTTGATGTATGTAAATACTACTTTAAATGAATTTTATTAAATACAATTATTTTCAAGTATTAGATTAAAAATTATTTATAAAAAAAAATCAGTATATAATACATTATTATTCTATTTTTTAAAGAATATAGAGAATAATAATAAAAAAATGAAAAATTTCATATAATATTATATAATTATAATTTAATAAATAAAGTAAATTATATGATAAACAAATCTTTTTAATATTATATGGAATACAATTATATAATTATTAAACGTATAAAATAAAAGTTATAACATACAACAATTAACTGAAAATCTATGTGAAATGAATATTTTAAAAATGTATAATACAATTTATAAATTCCTTAAATTCCAAATAAGTAAGAAGTAATGTATTCAAAATAAAGTAATTAACTCGCGCAATGTGCCGTGACTTTTATCTAATTTTATATTAAATAGAAAGAATGAAATTTATATTCATTACATTAAATAGTTGGACTTTTGAATTTCCTGATAATATTGAAAAATATAATAATTACAAGTTAAATATACTGAATGGATTATTAGTTAAATTAATTTAAATGAAAAGAAGATGAAAACAATAATTTTTTTTTATGATACTAATCTCATCCTTTTTATTCGTGCATTAAATTATATACCTAAATTTATAAATAAAAAAATTTTATTAATTGTAACTAAAATTACATTTTCCCTCACCCAAATTACATTTTAATATGAGTTTTAGAAAATTTAATAAACCCTATGTATGAATCATCCCTTATCTTAATAATCGTCATTAAGATTTTGTAGAAAGCTTTGACGACAATATTAATTAAACTAAAGGTTTCCTGTGAATAATACCCTTAATGCATTGGGTCCTTCATCCTGTGAATATTATTTATAAAGAAAAAATACTTTTTTTTTTTTTTTGAGGAAATCTTTTCAAATATTAATCGAATAATTGCTTAAAAGAAGTGAGAGAATGGAAGGAAGTATTCCGTATATTGCGTCCACGTTATATATAAGCCACTCCATCGTCCGATGATGTCACCCGTTAATGGTTACCGTTTCGCTCAGTAATTATTATTGCTGCTTTACAGCTTGCGTTTGCGCGGGCTGTTTTTGCATAGAAATCAAAAGAAACGCTCTCTTCTCGCATTGACGTTCATATTCTCCAATTTTTACCCTACTTTTCTTTTTCATTTTTTCTGAAAATAAAAAATTTCTAAAAAATTTAAGAACTACCATTTTAACCCTCAAATATATAAAAAAATTAATAAATTCATTTGGCCTCCATTTATCTAGTTCTTCTATTCATTTATTTATTACAAATAATTTATGAAATACAAAATTAACAATGTTTCAATTGATATTTAACCGGACCAAAAATGTATTTTTCATGAGCCCGTCCTCATTTTTCAAATACTCCCATGATTGGAGGAAAAGGAAATGATGGTGGAACCCAGGGCTCTGAGGAAAGAGATTAAGAGCATAGATACTCCTGAACACTTTCTTCACCTTTCCATCCTTCCATTTTTTTTTTTTTTCAAGTAACAATACATAGCATGTACAATATGCCAACGGACATTGATAAATAAATGTACTACTTAAAATATATTATATGAGAGCGTAATTATATAATGATAAAAACTCAAAGAGATGTATATTGTTAAATCGAAAACCAAGGACAAAGTGTAAGATTTGATGTTGAGACGGACGATTTTTTTTTTTGGAAACATAAGTATATTCAAAAAATTAGTTGGAAAGAGTTTGATTCCAAACAAGAATACAGTTTAGTAGGCAATAATTCAGAGGTGAAGGTGTTAAAAAAAATAAAGTCATTTAATTCGTATGTAATTCACTTATTAAACTTTATTAATTTTTTTTAATTTTTTATGGCACTATGCATATTGTGAATAACGTATTTAGGTACTTAAATTTATAAAATTTGGGTGAATAATATTTTTTATATGTAATAAAATTAGCAATGAGGGGGGGGGGGGGGGGGGGGGGGGGGGGGCTCATGAAAGTATTTAATGAATGAGATAATAATAAATTTTATTTACATAAAATGATTGTTTTTTTTTTATTTTAATAAATACCCAAAAGCTTAATTACTCAATGTATAGCTCATAACATCAACATTGTTCACGAAAAATGGCTCTGATAATTCTATACGGCTACGGCCTTACCATGAAGAATAAGAAAAAAGCAATTATTGGATTTGGCATAAAAATATTATCCAAAGTCAATATAAATTAAAAGCGTTATATGATGAATTATATATTAGTTTTGGTAAACAAATGTTGTCATATTGAATTAAGATAGCATAACTCACATTGCGCCTCCTTCTTAGAAGTCAAGATCAGGCATTGGCTTATACGATGTTATTGCTTCAAACTATAGTCCTTTAATTATATATTAGGATTTTACTAATAATTTCAATTAAATTACACAATAATACATATGGTATATAATCCTTTTTTGAAATTATACATAAGAATAAATGGTGTCTGATTCAATTATGTACAATAGAGTCAATGATGTTAATAAAAAATCTTAAGAATATTAATCGAAAGGTATGCACTTAAAAAAAGTTCGATAAATCTATAACCCTTTGTTCCGAAAACTAGTATGAAGGAAAATAGTTGAGAAAAATGATATGAGAAATTGTTTAAACTTCTCTTTCTATATTATTTTTCACCACTGTTTTTGGAGATAATGAATGAAAGAATGAATTTAGTAAATTATAGAGGAAAAAAAATATATTTCCTTAGAGTAAAAATCGACAATTATTGTCCTCATTTAAAATAATAAAAGCATTTAATAGAAATAGTTAAAGTTTGTTAATTAATTTTGCAAATATTTAGTTAATTTAATTAAAAAATAGTTGAAATTCTCACTTTCCTCTATTATTTCTCTCCTCAAAAAATTAAGAAATTAATAAATATTGAGCCCGAAGTGAAATTAATAAGTAAATTTTACTTTCTTCAATAATTTTCCCCGTATTTTCCAAAATAAGAAAAAAAAATACATTTTAGAATATTTACATAGATATTTTCATTCTTTTTCAAAAATAAAAAAAAAAAAAAAAACTTCTTCATCCAAATTATAAGGTATAAAAGATAATTGACTAGACAAATTCTCCGGATAAAAAAAAAAAAAAAAAAAACTCTCATCCAAATAAAGGTTAAAGATATTGACTAGACAAATTCTCCGATTCTATATATTCATTGATTATTCATGAATTAGTTACATATCAGGAAGATAAAAAATTGAAACCACCGAATGAGTGAATCTTCTATTATTTTATGTCTAGCATTTCAAAGATTAGTATTATTCCATAAGTTTTGTGTATTTTGATACCATCACTATCAATTGTGCGTATTTTGTAGCCATTCAATAATATAATTATCAATTAAATATAAAAAATTGAAGTAAATTCTTAATGGTTTAAATGTTAAACAAATGTAATATTTATAATGATGTTATGAATCAAAGCAATTTGTAATTTATATGCATGTGTGTATTTACTTCAATAATATACTCTCATATTTAATGCTCATGATCGCCTACGAGCGAAGACATAGTTGTTTGTAACACAATGTTAATATGATCTTCAAAGGCAATCAAATAATATTATTGATTTTTTTTTCTTATTTATAAGTCTTTTTATATTTCATTTTGAAGGTTTGTCATTAAATATGCAAAAATTAGCTCGCGATATCATTTTATAAGTGAATCAAATTAATAATCAATTTATTCTTTGTTTCTCGTATATATTAATTAGAAAAAATAATAAATTAAAATTATTAATTTATTGAAAATTTCTATAAAAATTGATTCGAAAGTTGAATTATAATTAAATTGTACACCACAAATAAGCTAAAAGGAGATAGATTGAACATCAATTAAAAAAAAAAAAAAACTTAAAATGTAATTAAGTTGATGCCTAAAAAACTGATGAAATGCAATCACACGTGGCAAAGATTTTTTTGTTTTTTGTTTTTTGTTTAAAAAATGAGGAAGTCATTTAAGACATGATACATAGCTTAGATTAGGAAATTCTCACACGTCATCAAAGCTGATGTGGCAAATCATTACCCATCATTATCCTTATTTTACTGAACCACACAAACAAAAACACAAATCTTTTTCTTATTTATCCTCAAAAAACACCATTATAAAATTGCAAAAACCACATTTTAATCTTTAGAAAAAGGTTACTCAGTTTGACCCAATTACAACATGCCAAATGAATTACTATACCTTAAAATTAGAGTATATCCTACCAGGATAAACCATGGTCCATGGGCCCACAGCATAACCATGGCAATTCAGAAATTATACCCAATTTCAGTGTGAAATTAATAATAAGATTTAATTTATCCGCAATGTAAAATTTTTATATGGTAATTTTAAATTATTTTATTTACATCTCAAGTCCACCATAGCGGCATAGCGGACACCAAAATAGATTTAAATACAGTTAAATCACACCCCACATTCACAGCAATAATCTCTTTCTTTCTCAATCATTCTCTGCTCTTTTTACTCTCTCGTCCAATCATCATCACCTCCTCTTCATTTAGAGAGAGAAAGCTTTTAGTCAGAGCAGTAATAACTTAACAGGAGAGTGCACACAACAAATTCTCTCTCTTCACGTCTCTTCTTCTTTCTTCTTCTTCTTCTTCTTCGTTTATGCGTGATCGTGAAGAGCTAATTTTCGTGGTTCAGTTAATTCCTTGTTTGATTCTTTAACCTCATTCAGGTATCTCTTTATCTAAAAGTTTGTTTCTTTTGTTTGATTTTTTTGCTTGTTAATGTGAAACTGAGACTCTTAATTGATTTTTGTGCGAGTTTAATGAAATTGCTAGATTTTCTTTAGTTGAAAGCCTTTTGCTTGGTTTTAGTACTTACTGAGTTTATTGATTTTGTCGAATTTTGAATAGTGATTTTCTTTTCGGGGTCAATTAGTATTGGGTTTTTGCTGATTCCTTGCGGTTTTAAATGGTAATCTGAACTTCGTAGATTCCTCTCCCTCTTTACCTACCTACCCACCTCTTATTGGTAATTGGTAATTAGTGATTTGATACTCATTTCCCTTTCTACTGTCGAAGATTAGCTATTGGGGTGTACCCTGTTGTATTTTTTCTGAGTTATGCTGAAAATATGTTCAGATTTTATATGCTTAGAGTTTCATGTGAATCGCAGTTGCTCTTGGTCTGGGCTAATGATTGTCTACAACAGTTAACTTTTCTCTTGGAATAAAAGTACTTCTATGTTTCTATTTGATGCTTTTATTTTCATAGAAATTTTTGCTTGGGAAAAGTTGTCTCGAGGCTGTCCAGTTCTTTTGGCGTCTCATGAAATTTTATTCTTGGTTGTTTTGTCTCACAGCAGAAGCGTTATGCGATGAAGCAGTCTTCAAACAACTTGTCTCCGGGTAAGTTGTTGCACTCAAATATTATGTTCATCGCCATTTAAATCGACTCTCTTTCTGATTAATAAGTTTCGTTTTTAGCTACTGTGAAGAATCCTCCAGTAAATATATCTAAGGAAGGGGGAAGTGGTGGATTGGGAATTTTATCTGGATCGGACATATACCATGCTCCAAGTGATGCTACACTTTTTTCTAGCTCATTACCCGATCTTCCACATGAAAAGCGTATGTGATTCTTTTCCTTTGAAGTTGCAATATGCCTATAATATTTTTAGAATTCTTACCCTTTCGCAACAAATTGCAGTGAATTTGAATGATACAGAATTTGGTCAACATTCCATTGATGATGCCTTGTCTAGTCTAGATAATCTTCGACAAGATGAGGATGTGGAAGGTAATGATTTACTTGAGGATGTTGAGACTCATGCAATTGGAAGTTTGCTTCCTGATGATGAGGATGAACTGCTAGCTGGCATTATGGATGACTTTGACCTGAGTAGATTGCCTGGTTCACTGGAGGACTTGGAAGATTATGATCTTTTTGGTAGTGGTGGTGGTATGGAACTCGAGAATGATCCACAAGAAAGCCTGAGTGTGGGAATCTCTAAGGTAAATTTATCTGATGGTATTGTTGGGAATGGGATGCCTCATTATGGTCTTCCAAACGGTGTGGGAACTGTTGCTGGAGAACATCCATTCGGTGAACATCCTTCAAGAACACTATTCGTTCGAAATATTAATAGTAATGTTGAAGACATAGAACTGAGAACTCTCTTTGAGGTAATTCAATTTTTTAGCATAAAATAATTGTTTATGCATCCTATTTTAGTTGATTGACATCTACATTAGAGTATTGCCTTTTTGTAACATCAATACAATTTATGAGAAGTAAGCAATCTGCAGCAGAAGTCGCATCAAATTTGTTTGAAGTTAAATTTTATGTGGTGTTTGTGCTTGAAACTTAGATATGACTTACCAATCCACCCCAAAAGTTAGGATATATTATGTTAGCAGCTCGACATCAACAATGGATGAGTTTTAAGCTTTATAGTCTACATGTTCCTAGTAGTAGTTTGTCCATTGTCACCTGTGGTTGTATATATGTTGCAGAGAATTTCTATATTTGATACATTGGTTTTTAAACACTATAACAAAATTTATCATCGATGCAAACGTAGTGGGTGACATGAAATAACTGGAACATGATTCTGAATCTTTTTTGAGAAAGTTCCTAGGTTTTTGTGTAAAACTGTCTGCTGTAGGTAAGAGTAATACATTACAGGGTAGCCATTATAATCACTTTGTAAGTTGGTAGCATGTAAATTTAGTTAAATCTGTGGAAGTACAAGTTGTTGATTTTCTTAACCTGCTTGCAACAGTAGTCAAGATGCTTTATCTTCATAGATTCATCTAAATAATGTGATGTTATCATTTGTGCATGTTTGTTTTGTAGCAATATGGCGATATTAGAACTCTCTACACTGCATGTAAACACAGGGGGTTTGTGATGATATCTTATTACGATATTCGTGCGGCTCGAACTGCTATGCGGGCATTGCAAAACAAGCCATTACGACGGAGGAAACTTGATATTCACTTCTCTATTCCAAAGGTTTATATCAGCTTTAACTAATGATAATTTACTTTTCAGCTGTTAATACTATTAGTTTAATTCTGTAATGTTTTTGCATCCCTTTCCTAAATCCACACCAGGACAATCCATCGGATAAGGATATTAATCAAGGAACTCTGGTTGTTTTTAATCTGGATCCATCAGTTTCAAATGAAGACCTCCGACAAATATTTGGGGCTTATGGTGAGGTGAAAGAGGTAATGAGTGCTCCCATCAGTTGCTCATTTTACTTTTCCCTCATGCTTGCATTTTTTTTTTTTTTTTGCAATACTCGGTTAATCTTCGTGCAAATTATATTCATTGTACAATTAGCAGATAAGGGAAACGCCACACAAGAGGCACCATAAGTTTATTGAGTTTTACGATGTGAGAGCTGCAGAAGCAGCACTCAAGTCATTGAATAGGAGTGACATAGCCGGTAAACGCATAAAGCTTGAACCTAGCCGCCCTGGTGGGGCACGTCGGAAGTAAGCATTTATTGTGCTTTGCTTATTACAGATAATATAGCTCAAATAGCACTCCCCTTAGTTTTGTCTGTCTTTCCCAATGTTGCAAATGCATCTTTATGTGAGTTAATTTGTGATTTCCATAATACGTTTTTTTTGTTTTATTTAATTTAGTTCTGGAAGATCAATTATTTTTATTGTTAAGCTATTGTTCTTTTGCAAGCTCTGTGTGTGTGTGTCTCAAGCAGGTAGGTATTTGAATGCCTGTTTCATTTCTTAAAATTATTCTTCTTTCCCTTGAAATTTCTTGCATTATTCTTGTTGAAATGTCTTTGCAAATGAATGTTTTTGGCTTACGTATTCTACCTGTCAGCTTGATGTTGCAACTCAATCAAGAGCTTGAACAAGATGAATCTCGGAGTTTCCGGCCTGCAGTGGGTTCACCAGTAACTAACTCTCCACCAGGTAGTTTTAAGATACTTCAAGTATACTTTGGAATTTCAGTCTATTACAAGCTAAATTGAATGCAATATTCATGCAGGTAGCTGGGCGCAATTTAACAGTCCCATTGAGCATGGTCCATTGCAAAGTATGAGCAAATCCCCTGTTTTCAGCACTTTGAGTCCAACAACCAGCAACCATTTACCTGGGTTGGCTTCAATTCTTCACACTCAAGGGTCAAACTCTGTGAAAGTTGCGCCTATTGGCAAAGACCAAGGAAGGGGTAGTCTTGTGGAGCATGCATTTACAAACATGAACTCATCCCATGGGGCTACATTCCAACAGTCACATTCATTGCCCGAGTCAAAGTTGAACCAATACCATGGAAGTATGTCATCTTTTGGCGGTCCTTCAACATCTAGTGGATCTGTTGTGGAAACATTATCAGGTCCACAGTTTCTATGGGGAAGTCCAAATCCATACCCAGAGCACAGTACTTCTTCTTCCTGGACAACGCCATCCATGGGCCATCATCCATTTTCATCAAATGGGAAGGGCCATGGCTTTTCGTACATGGGTCGGCATGGTTCTTTACTTGGCTCATCCCAGAACCATCATCATGTTGGTTCTGCTCCATCTGGAGTTCCTTTGGAGAGGCACTTTGGATTTTTCCCAGAGTCTCCGGAAACTTCGTTCATGAGTTCTGTTGCATTTGGAGGCATGGGTTTGGGACACAATGATGGAAATTTCATGATGAGTATGCGCGGTCGTGCACCCATAAATACTGGCATTCCCATTCCCAGAAATGTGTCTGAAAATGGATCTTCAAGTTACAGAATGATGTCTTCACCAAGGTTAAATCCTTTGTTTTTAGGTAATGGCCCATACCCGGCATTGACTCCCAGCACCATGGATGGTTTTAGTGACCGTGGGAGGAGCAGACGGGTTGAGAATAATGTGAACCAAGTAGATAGCAAGAAACAGTTTCAGCTTGACTTGGATAAAATAATCAGTGGGGAGGATACTCGGACAACCTTAATGATAAAAAATATCCCCAATAAGTAAGATATTTAGAACCTCTCTGTTTGTAAATATCCAGTAATTGTCATGTTTAAGGATGTCTCATTTATTTCTGTTCTGCTGTCATTCCCTAGATACACATCGAAAATGTTGCTAGCTGCCATCGATGAGAATCACAAGGGTACTTATGATTTTCTCTACTTACCAATTGACTTTAAGGTAATTTCATCGAGTCCTTGGGAATTCATTTTTCCAATTTCTTTTTTCTTGTTTGATTGCAACTGATAGACATTCCTTTCTTGGTTGCAGAATAAGTGCAATGTGGGTTATGCATTTATCAATATGCTGTCTCCTTCACATATAATTCCATTTTATGAGGTTATAGTTTCCTAACTTATTTTAGGATTTAATAATTCATTCTCTGGGTTTTGTCTATAAATAATTGTCTTGCAAGAAATGTGTTATCTAGTTAACTCAACCATGTATGCCTCCTTTGGAAGCTAAAGTTCAGTTAAGCAAATCATTTGTCCTGCGTATCTCAAACTTATTGTATGTTTTACTGATCCATCTATGCTTCTGTTATTCATGCAGGCATTTAATGGTAAGAAGTGGGAGAAGTTTAATAGTGAGAAAGTTGCTTCTTTGGCATATGCTAGGATCCAGGGGAAGGCAGCACTTGTGACCCACTTCCAGAATTCAAGCCTAATGAATGAAGATAAGCGCTGCCGCCCAATTCTATTCCATTCAGAGGGGCAGGAAGCAGGTGATCAGGTAACATGATTAAGTACTACATTGAAATGTCTGGAAACTTGATGGAATTTTGGAGTTTCCTCTGCAATTCTTTCTTCTTTTGCAATTATCAAGAAGGAAATTACTTATGCACTCACATTTAAAAGTGGTCTAGTTGCCAGATGCATGATTACTGTTGAGGATATGAATGAACTTTTTTTTTCTTCTGGCACAGATCATCCTGGAGCATTTGCCATCCAGTAGTTTGAACATCCAGTTCCGCCAGCCAGATGGTTCGTTCTCTGGAGAATCTCCAGGAAGTCCTACAAAGGATGGCTTCAGTGAGAAACCAGAAAAAAGTTAACAAATATGTCAAGAAGGAAATGGCCCTCAGTCTAAATTGATGTGGCTGTAGGTGCTAACCCCTGCGTATATATTCAAGTGTAAAAATTTAGGATGAGATGGTTAGGAAAGGAGAGTTGCAGACTTTATAGTGTTTAGTGACAACATTGAAGGAAGCAAGGACACGTTAATGTTTTTTGATCAGTGGTTTTTATGCTTGAGGAAGCAGAATAACGTGATCTCTCTTGCTCGTGTTGAGTGCACAGACCACCAAATTGTGCATGTTTTCTCTTTCAGGTTCATTTTTGGTTTTTAGGGGTAACTTCTGCAAATATGATGTGTATGATGATAAAATGTATCTCGGGCTTTTTCAGATTTTAAGGGACATTGATGGTGTAACATGGGTATTGTTACAGAATTGTACAGTGGGTGAGCCAGCCCTTTTTGGGTTAGTCTCAAAATTGTTTCTCAAAATAGAAGTTAATTTGTATTTAAGATATGCTGAAATTTTTTGTTTTCCTCGGTCTGCCATTTTTTAAGGACTTGTATGTTACTTGATGTCTTTTAGCTTTGTGACTTGAAATTTCAACAGACCTATGGTGTCATTTGAATGCTCTATGGTGCAAAGCTAAAAATTGTACAGAATCTTGGTTTTCGGAATTCTGAGTCTATCGAATTGTTATTTCAACTGTTCAGAGGAGAAGGAAAAGATCCATCACTACTGTGGAACTTTTGAGAATTTGTACTCAAAATCCATACAAATCGGGATAAAAGCATCTAAATCAACTATTGGACGTACATACACAAACGAAGGGTAAAAATTGACTCGTGCTAGCGAGCAGAATGTTAACTGTATATGACATTATACACAACAAACTCGCACAGAAAAATTCATATTGAACTTGCTTGCTGTTGGATAAACTGGATGGCAATACTTTTGTTTAGATAAGATTGTGAATATACAAATTGATACAGACTAACTTACGCCTTTTATTTAGATAAGATGGTGAATATACAGATCGATACAGGCTACCTTACGCCATTATTAGCAAGTAGAAGATATACAATTAGGTGGTCGAAATGGTAATGCATTAAATGAAAAAGGAACTAGAACCACAATATAATTGAGGTCCACTCTTTAACATATATTGAGAGGCCAATTGAGCAAGAGTTTGCTTCTTAATCATGTATAAATAATCATGTAGCTGCTTCAGCTTGCTTTCCTTTTTGTCTTCCATTCTTTGACCTCAATTCTAGGTCAATGAGGAAGTAACATTTATTATGCTCTCTAGCATAGCGAACATGACCATTCATCTGACTAAGTAGTTTCTGAGAAAGGTTTAGCCCTAAGCCTTCTTGTGTAGAATATTGATTTCCTCCTGCAAACATATCTTCGACGAGAGCAGAAGGAAGGCCTTTCCCAGGGTGTGTCATTCTACAAGCATAAAAAATAAGATGAACTTCACAATTCTGTCTTTCATTTTATCTGAAAGTGATGGTACTATAAACTGAGAGATGATGAACTTGACAACAAAATAACATGATCAATATACCATAGACAAGAAATGTAGTTTCTGTTAATAATTAGTAAACAAAAATGTAATGGTTATGGCACCTGATTTGCAACCGCATAAATTCATTACCATCCTTTATCAACGTCAGACCAGGTGAAACCTTAATTTCTACCCAGCCATCTGGCACAGGTGCATGGTGAACCACGCTAAGCAAGATGTCTGACAAGATCAGCTGAAGCCTAATTTGATCGCCGTACAGGGATAATGTTTTGATTTCTTCTGGTATCTCATGAAAAAGCTGTAAATTCCTTTCCCTCAGCAAGATCATGACCTGACTAATGATGGCATCTAAAACGTTTCCCAGAAGGAATTCTTCCATCTTGAGCTCAATATTGCTGCTTTAATCAGGATAGAATGTTGTGTTTCAGTGAGTATTGCAATATATTTATAAGAGAGTAATAAGATGCTTAGAATACAAATCCAAATAAAGGAACCTAATATTGAAGTGATCATTGACTAAGCAATGAACACAACAAAACATTAAGTCACTGTTAGATGAACATTTCTTCTGGTGTATATAGCCTCCCCCCTCCTTTGATGGAGAATCTGTTTCTGCAGGATCATTTACAGTACACACACACACACAGACAGACACACAGAGAGAGAGAGAGAGAGACTGTTTCTGTAGGACCATTTACAGTGCAGAGAAAGAGAGATCCTTTGGTTAGCGAATATGTGGAACTCAACTTATCCCTCCGCACATTTTCCATTCTTTATTGGAGTTTGTGACTTGAGGAATCAAAATGGTTTCTGTATAGCTACATTCGTCCTTCCTATCTTAATAATGGCAATGGATGTTATTCACCTTATTCCTAGGTGAGTTGCATTCAAAAAAGCATGCAACAGTAATAGTTGGCCTCAAAGAAACACATAAGACAAGCTAACAGAACCTTCCACATCGTCCTCCTCTTGGAAATACAGTATGTTTCTCCATAATTATCAATATCCACTGCCATTAGAAACCTTGTCATGTTCTATTGTCATGAATTGGGTATTCATGTAATAAAATGTTCAGCCAAAAAAAGACAAATATATGCAAATCATGAATGAAGAAGACTTACCCCTTTTCTAGTCTTGCTAAATCCATGTCCTCAATTATGGCCATAATCTGTTTTTCACATGCATCACTTGTTTCAAGGAATTGCTTCTGATGTTCTGATATTGATGTGTCCTCTAGAAGTTTGTGGGTAAAACGAATACCACTCAGAGGATTTTTCATTTCTTGTTGTATGTAAGCCAATTCCTTAAGTTTAAGAAAGCTTACTTGCTCCTCTTGCGTATGCCCATCCAAGGCCAGTTGGAGGTCAGGCTCAACAGTCTGCAAGAAGCAGAAACAGCCAATTATACTCCCATCTGGTCCAGTTCTTTTATTCACTGTTAAGAACACCTCCACAAATTTCCCTTGTCCGTTGAAAAACCCAAATGGAAACTTCTCAGTATCTTGACCGCTAATTCCTCGATACAATAGAATCATAAACTTAGTTAGAGTGTCTTGATCTTTTAGACGACATAGACCTCCAAAAATCTCCGCAGGGAGCATTTTACCTATCACCTCTTGTCTTGTTGTACCTGTCAGTTTTTCCATGGCAGCATTCCATTCACAACAGCAGGCATTCTCGTCAGAAGCAAATATTGGTGGAATCAATGGACTAAGACTTTCTATGATAGTTTTGTAATCTCCTTGCAATCGGAGAAATTTGTCCATGAAAAGCTTTTCAGGTGTGATGTCTTGACCCACAAAGCACACACCTATAACATTGTTTGCATAGTCCCTACTAGTACAGGCATTGACCACAACATATATAGCTGAGTTTTGCTGATGAAGCCCAAATTTTCTCAGTTTCAACTCAACATTTTTATCCTCCTCACCTGGATAAGATACAAGTCTTATTATAACCATAGGGAGAAATTAAGACTAAGCATATCATTAAAATAAAGGTGGATTAAGAAGAAAAAAAAACAAGATAAAATAAGCAAGAATCCAGCATAAAGTCACCCCTGAATGATATCTCCTCAAATGTTCCTGAGAATGTTTTGAAACATAAGAGGCAGAGTTTATAAGGCATAGTGGTATACACATCTAAATTTACGAGGATAACACCAGATGGGGCAAATTGAAAATGAAGCCAATCCCAACCACCATATTTTCCTCTTCCTTAGGGTTCAAACTGCAAATTCTTGACAATCCAATTTACATGGGGCCTAATGCAACAAGAAACTCTGCTCATTTCATATTCAAGCACCTCTTCACAGAGCCAATACCAAATTCCAACTTAGGAAGAACATTGGATCAGATAGACGGCTAACACTGTATGCTGTGATGGTTTGAACATTTAGATCACCATAAAGGGAATAATGAATTTGCTACTAAACTTAAAAGCCATTTAATTTACACAAGGGCATATTATAGTCACAATCAGGAGACAATGAACTACGATGCAGGTTATCATATATATATAAAGAAAAGCAAACAAATGGTGAATAATACATAGCACTGTAACCAAATCTTTGTGTGTGCTTGTAGAGACGTACATCTGAAATACATTAAAGTAAGAAAAGAAATACCTTGCAAAGCTCTGCACAAAAGACTTTCAACAACTCCACGTGAGTCCTCATGAACAATTTCATGAACCAGGGACTTTCCCATTGCTGCACTGGTTTGTAGTCCAGTCAACTCCGCAACTTTGGAATTCCATCCATTGATGAGACCTGCTGAATCAACCCCAAAAATTGGTGCCGTAGCTGTCTCAATCAATCTAACCATTTCACATGCCACAGAACTTAGTTCATCTATCCCCTGCATCTCAATGTCTGTCCGCCGATCATAGACAATTGCCTTCGAACCACTGTCCTCCATATCCTGGAATGAATCTCTCATTATTAGCTGTAAAGAGTGAATAGCATTAATCTCTGAAACCTCCCAAGGCAAACTTCTGCTCTTCACCACCTCCAAAAAAGCGTTAAATGATGATCTCGGGTGCATTCTTTGACCATCATCTTTATCTTCTGGATGATGCTTTGCTCCTCCCCATTTGACTTCCTTGGCAGAGTGAGACCTAAACCAGAACAAAAAATCTCTTGAAGTGATCCTAGCCGTAGCCATGCCACAAACAGCATCACCCAGTAATGCAGCACCAGGATATCCAGCATCTGCCAAACTATCAGTACTCAATCCAGTAGAATCTCCATGATTGTTGAGCAGCCACTCTGCAATGTCTTTTACCTGTGATTCAGTTGGAGTTATACCCAGCAACCAACATTTCCCTCCATAATATAATGCAGCTCCATCACACTTCACAAGATCCATAACACTAGGGGATTGAGTGACAATACCAAAAGGAGCATCTCGGAGAAGCATGTCACATAACAATGTCTGGGTCCTCAATATCCTCTTCTCTGCTGACCGTTCTGCCAACTGAAGCTCCATGTAGAGCTGTAGCCCAAAAGCCTGCATTAAGAATTCACATGCATAGCGGAGAGGGAAAGGGACAGTGCGCGGGGAAGTGTGATGGCACACCACCAGCCCCCATAGCTTGGTTGAATCGTTCCCATTTATAATAACTGCCATCACCAATGAAGCAATTGAACCCATATTAGCCATATACTGAGTATGGCAACCATGGGGTGACCTAAGGGTTGAATTGACCAAACAAAGAGGGTGCTTCAATTCTTCACTTTGAATTATCCTAACAGGATTGGCATGACAATCACAAATCATCCTCACACGATTCTGCTTGAACAAGAAACGTGCTGCTTGGGGGATATCTGTGGCAGGATAATGCAACCCTAAATAAGGTTCTAAGTCAGATCTCCTAATTTCTGACACAACTTCACCATGATCATCATCATGAAACTTATACACCATAACCCTATCATAGCCAGTAAGTTTTTGAACATCTTCCACAACTGAATCACACAAAACCCCAACATCACCGCCAGGGAGTGATTGCAGCCTAGAAATTGCACGAACAGCTAGTTTCTGTGACTGCACAGCTCCAGCAAGCGATAACACAGGATCACCGGACCTTGCAGGCTCCAAATCAATCACAATCCCCACGTCAATTCTATGCAGTATAGCATAAAATGGCTTCTGGGTAGTCCTAGCATGAACCAAAATTGGGTTTAACGTTGAAATCTCTCTAGAAGCAGCAGCTTTCGTCAATGAAGCCCCCGATTGAGGCGTAAAAAGTGTCCTCGCATCTGTTCCAATCAAATCCTTTACTTGCTTCGACTCGAGGTCAGAATTTGAACACAAACCCAGTAATTGAAAACAGTTTTCGCTAAAACTAATTATCTTAAAAGTGGGTTCTTCAATTGCAACCATACAACCAAAAGGCTGAATGAGCCCACCCCTTTGAATTCTAGATAAATAAGCAGTAATTTGTTCTTCAGGTACAGTATGTGGAGCAGAAATCACTGATCTTGAGTAGTTAAAAGACTTACCAGAGACACCAGATTGCTCAAACTCCGCTAAAAGCCCAGCATCAGCACTGTACTGGGCAATGGTGGTTTTACTTTTAGTAGTAGCAGCAAAAGGTCTCTTATTGCTTGCAGCAGATGATGACAAGGTGGCTGTGCCTCTTTCTCTGCCACTTTGAAACTCCATATTATACGAATCTTTGGATTATGATAATAATTGATAGATTTTCCAAGAATGTCATGCGGATGTCGATATTGGTGGAGAAAATCGGGTAGCTGGAACTTTATCATCAGTGTCCTTGCCAAATGCTAGCTACTGCTTGTTTCTTGGCTCTAGATGATGATGCTGGCCTTTCACAAGTCTCTTTCATTTTTCTGTGCGGGCTTTATCTTAATCTCTACAAAAAATAAAAACAAAAATAAAAATAAACAGATTAGAGGCTCCTACTGTTCCTAACAGATTCTCTAATAAAAAAAAATAAAAAAAATTCTTGAATATTTCAGTTCATGAGAGGTTATTACTTCGATATTGCATTATATTATATTCATAGTAACTGTCTTTATCTTTCTTGTTTCCATGCATGCTTGTGCTATACAATTAACGTCTGTGACTGTGAATGACAAGTCAAGAAGTCCCCACTTTGTAATCTTCTTGGACTACAAGAAAACAAGGTACAGCAAGGAAAACCATTATCCAATGGGGGAAAAAATCTTCAACAGCATTTTTCTAAATAGAATTCTGACTACTGTTCTAGATTTTCCTTAAACATTTTCATTTTTATGTTTAAAGAATTTGTTGAATTACTTCGTTGTCATCCTTAAGATGAGTGGAAAACAAACAAGACTGCATCTACAGTTACATGTAACTCTAACTGTACAATATTCACGTGGTGTGGTGTGGTAGGAGGCATGGCTTCTGTCCTTTAACGGGAGAAATGAAGGCATAATTTGGTACATAAAGTCCCACATTGTTATGAAAATGTGCCATACGCTGTAAACTAATTCTTGGACTCGTGGACTTGTGAGTCATTGTCTTTAGACATTCTAAATTAAAGTCCCAAAACTATTTATACTGAAGATAATATAATAAGTTATAAATATTCATTTCAGTGTTTATTTTAAATATAATATTATTCAATATTTTTTGGTCATGCTCGACACAAAAACAGTAACAGATAATTATAAAATGATATAATAGTCGATGGAGTTTACCAAGTTTCAATCTTCAATACACATTTATTATCAAAAAAAAAATCTTCAATACAAATTGCTGGCTGTGCTTTTTCATTTTTGAAAGAGAATTACATCGAATTGATAAAATAAAGATGATTTAAGAAGAATCTATTAAAAATCGAAGAAAAATGTTATTAAAATATGCAATATGATTTGATGGATTTTATGAATAGGATATATCGAGTTTAAATTCTTTAAATAACAAGAGTTTTCATAAATTTAATGAATAAATAAAAAAGCTACTCCTATTGTATAAGTAATTGAATTATTTCGAGCACATTGTACCTGTTAATAACTTAAAAAAAAAAAGGAAATATAATATAAGTAATATATTAAATTAAATTGCTTTCTTTATTTTTTTTTCTTTCGACTTTTCTATGCTTGTTTTCATCCACTTAAAATGATTTATTTTTCTAATATTTTTCAGGACATCTTTTTTCCTTACATCAATATCAAAGTTCGGAATAAGTAGCTAAAAGTTTGAACCCAACCACATTGATTACATGAAAATTTAAAAAGTGAATTTTCGGACACGTAAGCCATGGTCCAAAAAATAATTTTGTAATATCTAACCTCGGGCCCAGGCCCAGGCCATATTTAAGTATAGTTAGTCCAAATACGGGCCCATATATCAATTAAATAATAACAAATTATACAGGTCCTATTGCTTCTTATTTAACATTTTTTACTAGATACGTTAAAAAATGTTATCCTAAACCTAAACACAGCTCCAGCATTAATCAAGTGTTGATTGGGCAAGAGCAAGCTTTGGACGAACAACATTCTCTTATCAACTGCAGTACTATTCACAGTTGACAGTTATTTATAGGCTAATCTCAATTGCTAAAAAAAGTTTTATTTTTTATTTTTTTTTAAATGAGAGAAAAATCAACAATACTGCGAATAAAGATAAAAATAAATAACTTCATTTATGTTATGCAATCACCAGAAAAATAATCGAAAATCGAAAATGCATGCTGTTGTTTTTTTTTTTTTTTTTTGAAAAAAAATTGACTAACCATTTAAATATTTCGTCACCCGCAGGGAATTCTGTTTTTTTTTTTTTTTTTTAAGTTTTTTATTTAAATTATTGGACTGTACAGATAATTTGGATCTTAGGGTAGCTTATAGTTAGTTTTTTCTTTGTTTTTTTTTTTTTTTTTTTTGGTAAAAAAAAATTTACTAGTTAGGTTTAACTACCCAAGTTTACTGCTTTGGAAAATGATAGCTAACTACCTTATAGTGGGTTATAGCACAACCCACTTATGTACATAAACTGAAACATAAGGAGGTAAAATAGTGAAAATTTCATGGTTGTTTAATTATTTGGGAGCTAATTTAATATTGGATATATATATATATATATATATATATATATTATATATATTAAATTAAGAAATATATTAAATTAAGAAACTGATGAGATGAATAATAACAATAATAATAATTTAAGCCGGATGATGTTTGCCATTTCATTAAACTACTAATAAATGTCAAATACCCAGATTAGTATGTTCAATATATTATTTCAGCAACATTTCCAATGATTGCTAATCATTAGTTTTTGGACAAAAACATGAATTATCGAACTAAGTAGGAGGAGTTCCTTTTCTAATTAGTTCTACTACCACAATTGTCATTAATTTAATCCCTTGACCCGTGAATTTTTACTTGAAAACACGTGGGGAAAAAAATAACAATTTAAGTATTATAGCTTCTTTTACCTGTTATAGAAGGTTTAATAGACCGAAATATATAATATGGAATAACTCTCTCGTCAACTCACAAATTAATCAAAGTTCTTGTGATCGAAATGACTCGTATTTAAGACATCCATTTTTTCGCACTAATGAGAAAAAAACCAAATTACATTTCAAAGGCTCACATATTGTGAGAAAAAAACCAAATTACATTTCAAAGGCTCACATATTGTAATATTACGCACTAAAAATATTAAACATTGTGAGGAGTGAAAGGTATTGAGTTTGAGTCATCTCTTAATTATAAGAATTTTTATCAATTTAATAAATTCAGGTGATAGTTATTCATATATTTACAGTGTTATTTCGCCCACAGAACGCTCAATAAATAAAAATGAATAAAAAAAAATTGAACATTCATATTTCAAATTACATTTCAAAGGCTCACATATTGTGAGAAAAAAACCAAATTACATTTCAAAGGCTCACATATTGTAATATTACGCACTAAAAATATTAAACATTGTGAGGAGTGAAAGGTATTGAGTTTGAGTCATCTCTTAATTATAAGAATTTTTATCAATTTAATAAATTCAGGTGATAGTTATTCATATATTTACAGTGTTATTTCGCCCACAGAACGCTCAATAAATAAAAATGAATAAAAAAAAATTGAACATTCATATTTTATATCAACTTTTTTTTTTTTTTTACATTTATTTATTTTTACGTTGGGATTGCAAGTGATTTTCAAATATCCGAACTTATAGGTAAAATTGACCCGTAGTCTGCTTTGGTTTATTTATCCATAAAATAATAATCCTTTTCCTTTTCTTTCTAGTTCTGGGCAACAGAGTACGAAAATACCACTCGAGCAGTGCAGTGCACGCGCCATAGAACGAGAGTGTAATAGAAATTCTTGTCTCCACCATTCCCTCCTTAGCAGCTTTCTTTCCATAAACCAGCACGTGTCAACTCGTCAAGCTGAGCTGGTGCCATTTACACGTTGCATAAGTCTACAGGTCCATACGGATTCAATCTTAGCCGTCCATTCCCTCCCTCGGAAAGCCGACATCGCCTGTGTCTTGACCGTTCGTGGAAGTTGAGAGAGAGAAAAACAAAACTAAAGTCTTTCCTTTTGTTTTATAATACAGCTCAAGAGAGAACACGGCTTTTAGAGAGAGAAACTCTCTTTGTTTTAGCTTCACAGGTATTTTTATGTCTCTATACAAAGTTCTTTTTTTCTCTGTTTGTCTTTGAAAAATGAAAATTCATTTTTAACTTTAGCAGGTGAATTTTATCTTCTAGTACTGTTACTGTAGCGGTTGATCTCTTCTTTCTTTCTATTTTGGTGTTTCGTTTAACGGTAATGGTTGTTGATAGGTGAACTGTATAACTGTCTTTTTAGCTGAGTGTTCCTAGGGTTTTTGTAATCGCGACTGGATTTTGATTATTGTTTGGCGGGTTTTTTTGTTTTGTTTTGTTTGTTTTATGTAATTGAGGTTTGCTCGCCAAGTTCTAATTCTTTTTCTGGATTCAAACACTTGTTGACTTTTGATTCTGTATTTTTATTTGAAGAGTTATGGTGGTTTTTAATATGTGTTTTGAAGTTTATAACTTTTAGTGAAGTTTGTTATTCTGTGTCCTCCCTCTCTGCTCTCTCCTCATAATTGAAATTTTCTGGCTTGAACTTGTTTGTTACCGCCTAATAGTTAAACCCATCTCCTTATTGACATAAATTTTGATCCTTACTATGAAAATCTGCATAGATAATATTATAACCCGACAATTGAATTAATATTTGTTCTGTTTTCCTATTTTTGGTTTAGAAAACCATGATTTAATTTCCTAAAAATAAGTTTATTTTGCATAGTTACGTGCTATTCTACAAATTGTTGTTGCAATTATAGTCGGTCCTTTTCTGATTTTAGCTGTATTTAGTTTGAGTTAGGCAATTTAAGGTGCTAGCAAAAATGGTTGTTTGCTATTGGAACTTACTTTTTTTTTTTTCTTCCTTTTTTTTTTTTGAGGTGAACATTCTAATTATTTAATCATAACCCATAAAAAAATTAAATTTGAAAGATATGGATCTTGTCCATAGTTCATTTGATATAAATTTTCTATCTTTTTTTTTTTTTTATGTTTAAATTAACTGTTTTGTTATCTCTCTTCTGTGGTCATACGTGATTTGTTCAACCTGCCATTCTTGCAGCCTTAATAATTTAAATTAACTGTTGCTGGCTTATTTGATGGTTCTCAGAGAAATACAATTGCACATTGCGTTATGCTTTGAACTGCTGCATGCTTTTGTGTAGTATTCTTATATTGTACTCCGTAATCTTATGCAAGTTAGTGATCTGCAAGTTTCTTTGCTCATGTATTGACGACTCTAGTTATTCTTAGTATGGTGAGTCAGTAAAAGCAGTTTGTGTTTAATTCTAGGAAAGTTTTACAGGGCTTTTAGTTCTATCAATCTATATTTTAATACAACAATGTAAAGGCACACACAGAGAACAAGGTTAACTGTTTTTCTGTATTACTGTTATTTAATTTATTTTTTCCTCACGGTTCTCATGGCATTTATCTCTATTCTGATATCTCTGCTTCTTATGCCTGTGACAGCAGTCTCAGCTGGTGCTTGATTGCTTAGAGGGGTTTTTTCCCCCCCTGATGTTTCCAAGTCAAGACTTTGGTACACATTGTAAGAACAGATCAAATGCCATCACTAAAAATGAAGACCAAACTAAGCACAGGTTCATTAAGAGAAAAAAATTGTCTGAGCGTGTGTCCAAAGTCTAGTATGATATCCAAAAAATCAGGCTCTCAAGTTACAGTTTCTCGACAATCGACAGAACTTGATGCGTATATTAAGAAGTGTCAGAATGGCTATGGTAAGAAGCTTCTCCATTTAAAGAATGCTTTGTATAGATCTTTTGGATGAATATGAAGGACGTTATGGTCTTTTTGTGTCTTGGTCTTTATTTAATTTTGGCCAATGTCACATGCAGTATTGGCATTGTTGCAATTATTTTGCATGTCATGACTTATGATCATTTGGTGCCTAGATTTGTGTTGACTACTGCATAATGTTGTAGTAATGTTATTAATTGTGTGCAACTGCTAATTTTTCTTGTTAGTTCCCTTTAATAAAGAAATATATACCCCAGATATTGAAAGTGATGAAGATGTTGACCAGCAAGAATTTCAAAATGAAGGAAATTCTCAGTTTCAGAATCACTCATCAACTTTTGTAGATTCCAGCACTGTGGGGAGAATGGTAAGATTCATATAAATATTGTTTTGATTCTTTCTATCTCAAGTCTATTCTAATTCTCATTCTGCAATATTGAATGCTGATTAATGGATAAGCTAGAAATAAATGTGCTTTACATTTGTGTCTACTAGAATATTGAGATTGTTGATTACTGTTATACTTTGTTAAAGACTGTTCATTAAATTGCAGGAATCAAACCTTAACTGCACATCAAACTTGGAAACAATTTTTTCTCCTGCTTTGGAGCCTGTGGAAATCCAGAGTGTGCCAAATATTGATGATGATACAGGTGTGACTTCTGTAGTGATTGAACATATGATATCAAGCGACTTGTGTGACTGTATTTCATGGTTATGGTGTTCTTGACAAAATCATCTCCCAAGTGAATGGGCATAGATCTCTTTCTTCTTGATGCACCTTCTCTTTCTCTGATAATACATGGAAATTAAAACTACTTTTTTGTTATTGTTTTATGCTAAAGAATGGTAAAAAGGAAGCCGTGTTATGTAGAAGGCTGTTCCGTGTTTCCTATTTAGTTGCACATTGAACAGCAAATTCTACTCATACAAGTGCTTTATGTTCTGTTCCTTATTTGTGGCTTTCTAAAAAATTGTTTTCATGAATTTTGTTGGTTGAAGACTATGAGAACATTATTAACTTGAAAGAAAACCTCAATTGGCACATTTTAGGGTACTTCCAGGTGTGGCCACGGGTTTATTTTTAAGAAGTGTTAGGTATTTGTATAGAGAGTGAGAGTTGAGTGAGGGAGTACCATTTAGGTATTTATAGAAGTTTTCCGTGGAGCCTGATTGTGATCTCCCTTCTTGCCCTGGTATATGCATTCTGAATTTGAACAGCCTTAAGTTCCTTGGAGTCAATTTTTTATGATTAGTTACTGAAGCAGCAACTATTTTACTTAATGGAAAATGAAATACTCTCACAATTTAAGAGTTTTCCACTAGTGCTTATGTTACTGTGTTTGCTTAGATTTTGTGATTATATTTCTTGTACCTTTTTTTGGTAGGGAGCATCAAAGATCTCAATGTGCTGGGCTTGGCAGCTGATGACAGCGATGATAACAGAAGCTCATGCGATTATCAAACATGCAATGTCTCGGATTTTTTTATTTCTGACATGATTATTGCCAACTCACCATTTGATGGAAACACAGTGGATGATGATATTACTGAGACAAATCCTTTTCCTGATTATAAATGCACTGAATCAAGTATGTTGTTTGATGTGGCTGAGGAATGTATGATGCTACCTTTTCTCGAGGACACTGCCAAAGTGAGCAATTCCTGTGATATGAGACCATGTGAAGAAGAAACATTAGACCCGGATAACTCTAGCTTATACCTAGCAATTAATCAGATAAGATCGTGCAACCAGGAATCTGATCTCAATTCTGACTCAGATCAGGCAGAAGACTTTGATCCGCAGTTTTTTATCAAAAATTTGCCAGAACTATCTGATGTGGAGTCAAATTTTCGGCCTGCTGTATCCCAAAAGGACTCTTGGAGAAGGAAGTCTATAACACTGGTGCTTGATTTGGATGGTACTGTTTGTTCCTTTATCTTCATGGATTATGTTAGTTTTCTGATTGTTCTGACATTTGTTTCTGTTATATGTGCCCATTGATTATATTTGAAGTATTTCAAAAATGATATCCAAAGTGAAAGAAGTGGATTGGTTGGGATATCCATTATTGGAAATTTTTGACTTTTAACATTATTCACATTCAGAATGCACCTTGCCAGTGTGTTTCAAAATGGAAGAATCGAAGCATAGTTCACTAACTTTAGTATTCTTCAGATGCGTGATTGTCCTGGAATATAAAATGATCAGTTGATGATGAGTTACTGGTTTGTTATGGTACACTTCTGTGCTGAGCAAAGAGAAAACTCCTGCATTGGTTCTTCTCACAATTTTTTGGTTAGTTTGGAAGAATTAGGAACAGGGGTTTTGAGGGGCACAATAACTTATCTTTATAACTCTTTACACAAGCAGACATATGCATGCATGCATATATATATGTGTATATGTATACTCAATAACTTTGCTCCTCTTATTGGCTTAGAATTCTTCATATGCATATGCATGCTCCTTTATAGTTTGTAGCCTAACTAAAATCTATCAGTGAATTTCATTGTACTTATCAAAACACTAAAAAAGATAATGCACTGAAAAAATAGTATGCAAGTTAACAAAAAGATTTATTCTAAGATATATTTTGTATATGCAGAAACTCTAGTCCACTCTACGCTGGAACATTGTGACGATGCAGATTTCACATTTACTGTGTTTTTCAACATGAAAGAGCACATAGTTTACGTAAAACAGAGGCCTCACCTCCACATGTTCCTGGAGAGAGCTGCAGAGATGTTCGAAGTTGTTATTTTTACAGCTAGCCAAAGCATCTACGCTGCACAGCTATTGGACATACTGGATCCAGATAATAAGCTTATATCTCGGCGGGTATACCGGGAGTCTTGCATTTTTACAGATGGGAGTTACATGAAAGATTTAACAGTTTTAGGTGTTGATCTTGCAAAAGTTGCTATTATTGATAATTCTCCGCAGGTATTTCTGTTGCCCCATTCGCCTCAATGGTCTTGCACTTCGTTTATATCTTATCTCTTACTTTCTTTATCTGTTCAAAGTTTTGTTTGTTTGATTTAGGGTTTGTTATCATCCTTTTGATGCTTTTTGCATAGGTAAATTTTAATGAAATCAAATTAAGTTGGGATACAAAGTAAGAGATCTAAAGTTCATTTTAATTGTATTCATCTTTAACTATAAATTCTAAAATTCAGCTTGATTTTGAAGCAATTGGTGGTGTTTCTGGGGAAGGGAGAACATGGTTGCATAACTTATTTCTAGGCTGACATGGGGGTGCTAATATTGTACAATGTAATCTTTACAATTTCAATCAAGTTTTTAAGGGCCATGCCTTTTCTTTTGATCTTTGATAAAATTGGTTTTTTGGAAATACTTGCTGTTGGATTGTAAACCATAGCAAACTTGTGACATTAGCCTTCATGCTCAAAACTGTCAAGGTAGCTGAAGAGATTACCTGAGGAGGGGATAGAAATGAGATCTTCATCTTTTCCTTAATGGTAACAGTAGAAAACATTATTCAGTGTCCCTATCCCAAAACAGAAGTTAAAAAGTAGAAAAAAATTGTGAGGCAAAAATGGAAGAATGGTATGCAGAAATAGGAAAAGAAGTCTTTATTTAATGTTTTCCTGATTGTTTCAGCATCGTTTTCTTTCTTGATTTCAGGTTTTCAGGTTGCAAGTAAATAATGGAATTCCTATTAAGAGTTGGTTTAGTGATCCATCAGATTGTGCACTAATTTCATTACTTCCATTCTTAGAGACTCTGGTTGATGCTGATGATGTCCGTCCTATCATCGCAAAGAGATTCGGTAACAAGGAATAAGAGCCCCTTTTCCTTATTAGCTTTGAATATAGCTCCTTGTCCCTCCAATTTATTTTTTTAGTAAAGTTTGTCTCTAATTAGATGTCTCCTCTTTTCTCTGTGCTTTTGAGATTATTAACTATACAATAAACTAGCATACGTCTTGTTGTCAAGTCAGCTCTCAGTGCATGTTCCTTATCTTTTCTCCTTTCAGCTGACAACTTCGTTGGGAGTTTTTTCTAATTTTTCTGAAAGGTAGTTGTAGAGATGTCTGTTTCATTTATTGTACAGTTCAAGTTGCAATGAAATTCATAAGAGGGTGTATATGAATTGATATCTTGTGAAATATAGTTTTGGAAACTCTTGCCGGCTTGCTTAGCTGGTAGTTGGTGCCCTTGCAAGTGCGGTCTTCATTGCTTCTTTACTATCTATTTGCCTTTCTTCCTATGAAAGCAGTCAAAAACCATGTAGGATACCACTAAGAAATTAGATCTTTGGGCATGAAATTTTCTAGGAACAATCCGCTTCACTTCTTTTTTACTTTTGTAAGTATTGGTTGATGTTTTCATCAGGCATAAGTAGAAAGTAGAATTCAGTCTAGAAACAGCATAGCATGACAAAGTAGTCTGGTAAATATTAATATATGATTTTAGATGCATGGATGCCTTCAACTGTGGAACACTAAGGGAAGTTAAACTTTGAACTTACTCATGTTAAAATACATTGTTTATCCCATGATTAATATATAAAGCATAGAATAAAATGGAGTACACATGAACTCCTGTGTGATGGAACAACAATGACTTATTGGCTCAATTATGTCAAATATAGCTGGTAAAAGCATATCTTACCACACATTTAACAACTTATGTGCACGGAAACACTCCTGCATTTCTTTATGTTGTGTTATGATGCTTTAATAACTAGTGTCGTCAGAATTTTTATGGCCCACATTTTTTAGCAGGTTAATAAATAAAACATTTCTGTTATCTGTACGATGTGGTGCATAGCATATATTGATTGAGATTTTTCTTTTCTCCTTGTCTTGAGGCGTTCGCTACAATGATAATCATATTTACTTGACGTTAGCAGTATTAGTGGCTTTTAGACATTGTTTCTTCTATGTTTGCTTTTTTTTTTTTTTTCCAGTGATTTTATGTGTCATTTCATGACTTGGCTGCATGACATGCACATTGAACATGTTATAGAAACTCAAAGCACTCATTATCTCCTAAGAATTATAGAGGCAGTTTCTAGTAAGAAGTCTTCATTGTTCAATTTGGAAAAGGAAAAATTCGTCATCAAGAAATATGAACGATGCAAAAAAATCTTCATTTATAGGAAGATGGTGAGCTGCCTGTGGAAACAATGTATTTTTACTAAGGGAAAAATGATAGACAAAAAGCACTAAAATTCTAAGTTTCCAAGCAAAATGCAATTAGACTTTTCTCATTTTTTCTTCACACAGAGTGCATGGCATACGAACTGTCCAAATAATTAAGTCACTCGGACTAACAAACTCAATTGCGAAACTAGGGACGAAGGAAATTTTAATTTCAGGACTCGTGTTCCTGATTCTTCAACTCTTGAATGTTCTATGCGCAGATAAAGTCTTTTGATCACATTTGAGGTTTGCATTTGTCATCCTTGAATATTTTCTAATTGTTGTGTTTCTGAATCTGACAGGTCATTTAACTTGGTTTGTTTATTCAGCTGGTTATGCAGTGCTCTTTTTTTTATTATTTTTTTTTATTTGTTTCCTTTCCTTTTTCCATTGCCCATATTTCATGATATTGATTTTATATACTTAGGTTCATCTTTTAAGTTTTTTTACATCCTGTCTGTTATTCTTTTTCACTTAAGATGCCCTAGTTTCTGAATATCCTCTAGAACAAATGATGTCATAACTAGGGAAGGTCATCTTGTTGGCTGGGAATTTTGAGAGTTAAGAGCAAAAACAATGAAACATGAAGTTGCTTTTGTGAAACATGAAGTTGCCATACAAGTGGGAATCTCCATTGTACTGCTCTACCACATAATGATTTCATCTTGCTAGGTTATGTGATTGATGCGTTTTTAGTTTAAGCGCCGTAGCCTGCAAGAACGAGGGGGTTGGATGCTAGTGCCTTAATTTGAGTTTGAAGTTGAAAGGTGATACATAGGCTGATGATGTAGGAAGTATCTGAATGAAAGAGCCCTCCTTGAATTGGGGCTGCTTTAGGTCCCATTGGAAGCCCTTAAGCAGATTATGAGAAGGAAAGTTTTGATGCCTATCTTTCAAATGGAAGTGGGAAGAATGTGACTAGAATACCCATCAGTCTCTGATAACATATGCTAAATATTGCAAATTTCCTCTTTTATAATTTTGCATGCCTTATCTGCAGGTCATGGGAGGAACGTCCTATATTATCTGCTAATGGCAAAAATGTAGGTACGTTGAGTTCCATTATTAGTTTGTTACTATCTTTCTTAAACTTGTAGTTACACCAATTTGTAAGATCATGAATTATCCTAACAATTCTTTTACCTTGAATATCCGATACGATGTTAAGAACAGATTGGACTGTATAGTCTCATTTGAGCATGTTAAGATATTTAGAACTTTATTGTTCTTTTGTATCCTTTTACTGCCCGGTTGGCGGTTTCTCTGTCTTGAATGCTGAATGCTTATTCTATTAAATATGTAAGAACATCCAGCTAATGTATGGCTGGTACATCACCCTTGCAGTTAGTGGAGCACAAAACATGATCCACTAAATTTCAGTTCCACATTCATTTCCCGAAATTCTCCATTTTTTGTCCTTTCAAGTAGTAATATTGAAAAAAAGCTGCTTTTTTTTTTTCCTTTTTTTTTTTTCATCATCTTTTTTTCCCCCCAAACGCCTGTGCAGCCTTTGAACCACTGTTGGTTTTCATGCCAATGTGAAAGTATTGGAATACATGAACTGTTATGTTGTATATGCTCTTAACAAGGAAATAGTGTTTTACCGAGCATTAGCTTAATGGTAAAAGTTGACGACATCTAGGTGGGGATGCTAAGAAAATTTTAATTTCTTGAGAAGACTTAACGGCTATTCTTTTACATTCACAATGGTCAAATTTAATTTAAAGCTCATTTCTGAAAAGATGATAAAAAGAAATTGCATTTCTGAGTACCAAACTAGCTAATTCTTTTGATTTTGTCGTTTTGATTCTCAAAATTTCACTTCAAGCTAAACTCAATAAAAGAGTATAAAAGTACTTAAAAGTTTGGGATCCCCATGCTACAGCATTTTTAGGAACTGGTACCTGGCGTTTTTAGCACGTAGCATTTTTATAACATCAAATACAAGCTCTTCATGTAACTTAAATGTGGCCAGTAACTACCAAGTAGGCCAAAATATATTATATTATATATATATATAAATATATAATATAATATAGTAAATATATATATATCTCCCTGCGGAAAATATATATATATCTTCCTCTGCGGGAAGACAGATCCTGTAACACCTTTCTGTGCAATGGGCTTTTCAATTCAGAACCAAGATTATACATCATGCCACCGGACATCCGTCGGATATTTAGCCGGGTCATATCATTCCAATTCATATCTGGAAAATTTACCGCAATTCTCCTGGCACGGTCGATGCCTTAACTTAGAACTGAGATAAGATCAGGTGTACGGTTTAAATATAATCCACCTAAAAATTTCCCTCAATAAATATATATTTCAATATAAAATAGTTATGTTCGAAATTTCAATTATCTGTCAGTTGGGTTGGATATCAGCGTTATTTCAGCTTTCTGAAAACTTAAATTCAACGGATGAAATCCAAAATCTTTATATGCTAACAGCAGAAAAAATGTCGGTACGTTGAGTTCCATGTGAACAAATTTACAGAAATCACGAAATCCAGTGAATAAGCAAATGTAAGTATGTCGGAAGCTACGCCATCAACTTTGAGGAGACCAGGTGTGAAAACCGAAGACGCGAAAGACTCGGTAATCAGCAGTCCCAGCTTCACTAGCATCATGCTTCGGTGTAACTCAATCCTGCATCCATGGGACAAGAGATGCATCAAATAAATTTCATGGAATCTGCAATGTATTTGGTGAAATCTAGAGAATGAAAATTTCATTGGTTGATGCATGGTTTGGATTTGTGGATGGAATCTTTTTCATCGTCAGGTTTCGGTGCAATTTTTGGAGATCAAGAAGGCCATTTCCTTGGAGCATTATCTGGCTACTTTTTGTCGTACCATGATCCGGCTAGAGTAGAGGTTTTTGCTCTTCGTTATTATCTTTTATGGGGAGAAAATCATATGCAGGGACTGGAAATTATATTCACAAATTGTCAACATTGAGCCTATGATTTACATTCCTTTTCTATCAATAATTCTTTGTTTGGTTTAGTTGTAGAGAATTGTAAACAAATTCTTAATTGTAGAAATAACATGGCTAAGGAGACAAACTAACGTTTACTCTAGCAAAAGCTTCTTACCAATATGCTAGTCTCAAACAACGAGATTTATTCCTGATTGTGTTTCATTCTTATTTTCTTAATGTTATTGATTTTTATCCTTAAAAAAAAAATAAAAAAAGAATTCAATACAGCTTCCCCACTAGCATGGTTTATGGTGAGTCTAAATGCCATGCATGTAAAGATAAAGTCTGGAGTTGCATAAACTGGAAGTTACTTTCGAATTACATGAATTGAAAGTTGACATCATAGCCAGTTATTCTGATGGGGAAACATGACGGCCTAGTTTCACCAGTTTAGAAAGAACAGTCATCGACCTGATTCCACTGAGTTATCCTCTGGAAGACATTAACAAGACAGGAAGCGAATTCACGAAAAAAGGGGGAAAAAACATCTTATTACTCCACTTCTTGTGCCAAGTGTCAACCTTCCATCCCAGACTTTTGGCCTTTCTTAACAGGTCTAGCAATCGATAGAAAGGGATGAAGATATAACCTTCAACAGATAATTAACCATGTGGTATTGGCTCTCTGAATAAAAGGGAAGTCATTGAATAGTACAGAACGCAAAAGGCATTATAACAGGAATTATATTGCATCATCAAATTTGGTAGCAGAAAACCTTAGGTGCACAGAGCAGATTAATACAGAGAAGCTAGGAGATCCAACATAAAGTAAATTCAAGCAATCAATACAACCACCAACAACAACAACAACTAAGCCTTTAAACCCAAACCAGTTGGAATCTTCTGTATGAATCCTTCATTTCTATTCTGCTCTATTCATAACTAAGTCCATAATAATAAAAAAAAAGGATAATAATCAAAGACAAGGTCTATGCGGTATCATGGGAGGAAAAGATGAAACTTTATGGAAATTTATCAAGAATGGGAAAACATTCATACACTAGAAAGCAAAGATCTTCGACAGATTTGCTTCATTTTCCAGGACTAAGACAGTTATGGCATAGGTACCATGCAGTTAGCTTAATATAAATCTTGCTTGAATTTGACGGCTATATAAATTATGACAATTTGAAAATATCATGCCCATTTCATTGTATTAAAGATAGCTCATTTCATCAATGTCATACTTAAAATCATGCTAGCTCAGGTTCTAAACGTTTTGTGATGCCATATTCCAACTCCTAAATGCCTCTGATGTTGTGACAGAGGTGTGAAAATAAAAGTCATTACTAACAACACCATAAAACTGTTACATCAGTCTCAGTGATTGAATGTATGCTCTTTATGGTTTAAATAATAATGGCATGGTTGACTTCAGAAACGTTCATACACTCACCTGAACCTGTGATGTGTTATTTTGCTTCTTGGGCAATTCTTGGTCTTGTCCTTGTTCATGTGGATGCTGTTGTGGTAAGGCTGTTTGTTGCTGGTGAAAGTGTTGCTGTTGTAGCAATAACTGCTGTTGTTGCACTTGCTGTTGATGCTGAAGATAGAGTAGATGCTGCTGCTGCTGATAGGATTGTTGCTGCAATTGATAGGCTTGTTGCTGTTGCAGTTGTCCTTGTTGTTGCTGGAGTTGTTGCACTTGTTGCTGCTGCTGCTGCTGTGGTTGCAGCTGTTGTCCTTGCTGTTGTTGCTGCATTTGTATCAACTGCTGTTGATATTGTTGTTGCCGGAACTGCTGTTGATATTGTTGCAAGAGCTGCTGTTTGTTTGGCTGTTGGTGTTTCAGGAGCTGCTGTTGTTGCCAAAGAAGCTGCTGTTGCTGCTGGTAGTAATAATGTTGCCACATTTGGTTATACGCTTGGTTATTTTGTGCATTACAGGGTTGCTCACTACTTTGTATGGGATGTTGAGTCATCTGTGGTTGAGGATATGCAGCAGGTTGTACAGGTGGTTGAGACTGACATGCAGGGGAAATACTTTGCTGTTGCATATTATACACTGGCCAAGCTTGAGGTGTAGTTTGATTAATATGAACAGTAGATGCTGGATACCAACTTTGTACTTGGCCAGCTTGCTGAACTTGCAGATCTCGTAAAGACCAAGGTTGAGATGCATAATCTTCATTCATGTGAATTTGAGGTTCTTTTTCATCTCGCATGCGTGTTCTTTGTGGAGAAGACTGACCCTGTTTTTGCTGTCTTTTATGAGAATGCCCACGAAACCCAAGTTTGGAATCTCGGCGAGATCTGTCAGGATTATTCTTTTGATGCCAGTTTCTACCATCATCTGCCATTTTCTGTGGTTGCAGAAGTGCCTGTGCCTTGTTCTGATAGCTTGCAGAAGATGTAGGACTGACATATCCAATATTTGTTTGGGCAGACACAGCTGCTTGACTGCTCCCTGGGCTCGATGTAATACGATCATCATCAGCATTCTGGCCACACTCTGACATATTTTCATGTGACATACTATTTTTCTGAGGAGCTTCATTATTTGGCATACTTCCATCAGACAAGCTAATTTCCCGATGAGCTCCAGAATCACAAGATGCAGGACTGATAGAATCTGGAGATTTGGCATTCTCATTATTCAAGGAAAGTTGCTCCAGTGAAGGCGGCTTCAAATCCAGTTCAGGTTCATGGTCATACTCTATCTGAACATCATATTCCTTAGGAAATTCCATAGAGGGTGGAGTAATTTCTGAATCATTAGCAGCTTGATGTTTCAAATCAAGAGATGGATTTGATTCAAGAACATCTTTCTCAGACAGCTCTAGCACATCGAGAGACCCTTGATCCACAATCTCATTTACATTCTTGTCAGATTCTCCAGACTGATGCAGTTCAACTTTTGTCTGATGTACAATCGCCTGATCAGTTTCTGATAACTCCTTTACAATTTCCAGCAATGCTGGCTCCTGGAAAGGTACCTGGTCACATATTATATCTTGTTTTCCCTCCAGTCGTGATTTCTGGTCTGACACCTGGTCAGTGGGAGGATGGGCAGCCTTGGTATCATGACTTTTGGGTGAGGACAGTTTTTCCTCCTGTACTGATGACTGCATCAGGCAGTCAGAACTGCCATCTCCAGAAGGATGAAAATCCAGTCTGACAGGGCTTTCTGCTTGTGCCTCCATAACTATTTTCCATTGTTTTGTTCCTGTAGCAGGATGAAACAAAGTAGCCCTTACAGACTGTGGGAACAATCTGATGTGCCGATTCCATGCCTTTCTTACATCATGGATAGATCCACATAGATCAACAAACTGTTGTCAAATAGATTTTGTTATTGGAAAGGTTCGCATATATGCTTATCATAACTCAATGTAACAGCGCAATGGTTTAGAAATTATAGGTCAGTTAACGCACTTGACATCCTTTAATGCACATCTACGATAGAGTTATTAACTTATGCATAAAAATAAACAGATGAATATTTTAGCATTGATGATTCGTTGAGAAATTACGAAATGAAATGAGTTTCAATGATATTTAAAAAAAACATTACTCAGCAAATTCAGAAGAAGGAAACAAGAAGTAGTGCTCCTTTCTTGTGTGAGCTCTGTACAAAATTTTTGGATATGGAATTTACTGTGCAAAAGGAAGAGTCTTATCCTTACGTTTGTCAAAGAAATATAAAATGTATGCATATATATAGAAGAGAATTTGTCAACCTCTGATTAAGCTGCTACTTTTCTGCCATATGGATTATGCATTGAATGTCTTGTTTGCATTTACTTTTACAATTTAGTTTGTTTGTATTAAGTATGGAAGTTCAAATGATAGTTATAGGTTCATCGTATGTGAATATAAGGATTAGTTTATAGGCAGATGCTGCTTTCAAGGCTTTCACAACTAGGGAGTGTTAAAAGAAATATTTGAAAAAAAAAAAAAAAAGAATATTTGAAAAAAAAAAAAAAAAAGACACTTAAATGTAATGTTAAGCCCACAAATCTGCTCCCCCTTATCTCCTATCATACAAACATAAAACTATTGGCTTTGCAAATGATGTTTTCCACATGAGCTGAACCAAACAACCCCAGGTTTTTCATTGAACTTGTTTTTACTTAACACCTTTTTTTCACTGAATTAACTGAAACAGAAAGACAAGGATTCACATGACACGCCAAATTGCCATTTGCCACAAACACAGAAAGAGAAACTTGTAATATTTAATACCACTTTGTCTCAGACCAACAAAGGAGAAACAGAAATATGAAGGTACAGGGAATTTCTAACCTCTAGATAGAGTTTTGATATTTCCTCCCCATCTTTCGCACTCAAACCTAGAGATACACTTGGTCGTGGAGATATAGCATTTGCTACAATGGTATCTACCATGTTCATATGCCTTATCCCTCCATGTGAAATTGCAAATTTTATTAACTCCTGCAGAAGAAACAAACTAACAATAAACAACTATTTAAAGCTCAAAATTTCAATAGATTAACACTTTACATATGCAGAGAAATGATTGAGAAAGGAGCAAATTCAAGTGTTTTTTATGCTAACATTGCTATCCTTATTCAGTAGTCAATATGCTTATATAAAAAAGAAGATATACCTCTATAAGTAATTTACTGTAAGGCGCATGCTTGATTCCATCTATCAAGATATCTCTGGCAGCATCTTCACCATCAGTATTCTGGAAAAAACAGGAACAGTTGGAAAATAAACATTCACTAAACCAAGAAAGAAATGGACAATGTAGCATGCACTATAGCATAATTTTGATGTTGTTTGCAAAACTACACACAATATTAACTTAAAACAAGTTTAAGATATCAAGACCTCAGGTATTTTTTATCCTTTTTTTTTATTTCGATTTCAAATAGAAGATATAAAAGATAAAGCTTTCATTTTTATGTCTTTGGTGTTTTAACTAATTCTATTTATTATATTATATAATAATTAATATATAATTCATACAATTAATATACAAATTATTAATATAAGTAATGTATAATTCATATTATTCATATAATTAATATACTTAATATATAGGAAAGCCTTATATCTTGAAATTAATTCATCAATTCAAGTGCATGCTCACAAATATAATGTTCTAAAAGTTCAGATGGAATTTTTTTTTTTTTTTTTTTTTTTTTGAAAGATTATTTGAATAAGTTTTTTTTTTTTTTTTTTTTTTTGTCAGGAAAGATTTATTTGAATAGCAGAAGAAAAATATGACTACAAGAAAAACACATCTGCTACAAAAAGTGCATCATAAATTGTCAACACGAACTACCGGTAAATAGATGAAAAACCTACCATGTATTTAAGTCGAGAAAAGTTAACATACAAAATAGGAAGAACATGCCACTTTTCCTTCACTGTAGCCATTCCCAGTGCTTCTTCGTATATATTAGAAGCTGCTATGAAATTCCCCTGACCAAGTAAGAAAAACATCAATATAGGATACTGATCTAGAAACACATTCAATTGAACATTATTTTTCTAGTAAAAAAAAAAATGATAAATGGATTACATACTATGCGCTTTTCCATGTTAGCTCTCATTACAACATTTTCAACAAATTCTGAATCTGATTCATTGTTGCATTGAAGAAAGGCAGAACGGGCACTAGGCACATCTCCTACGTGCTCCTTAAACCTGGCATTGAACAGATGAATCACTGACACCCTCTGCAATGAATATATGAGTGGGGCCATAAACATCTCCAGTCATGTACAAAGGAATCGAGTCAAAGCATCCTATAGAATCAACCAATAGTTTCAGTATGACACAAACTTTTGCTGAAGGACAAACGCATCTGAATAAATTCTGACACAAGATTCTGTTATATCCCATATTTTAATTCCATTGTGTTGAAATTTTGACACAATATTCACCAAAAGAACTAGGCAATTGTTGGGGGTCGTGAAATTAAAATATAAATCCAAAAACATTTAGTAAACAGCTGCACAGCCCCCAAAAATTGTAGAGAAATTCTATTTTGGAAGAATCATTTGCTGTACAAAAAGAAAAAGACCATCATGGAAGGGCAAAATTCTAGTTAAGAAGATATACACCTTCAGAAAGTTTTGTGTCACTCGGTCCAGTGCAAAGTTCGCTATCTCTCTTCCTCCCTTACTTTCCATGAACTCCACATAACGCATCCAGAAGTCCGGATAATTAGCACAAGGGATTAAGCATCTTTCGTAAAGTCTAACAGCCTGAAATCAATGAAAGTAACGAATTTTAGACCCAAATAAAAGGTAGGTGGAGTCTGAACAGGCTGCAGAAAGGTGTAACACCATACCCAGTCGAAATCTCCATGCGACTCAGCAAAGTCCAGATAGTGATGCCAGTTTTCCAATTGATTGACATCAAGTGGCTTGACATGGAAATAAGATCTCTTAATACGAGTTTCATAGCAACTTATATTTTCATTTAACTGAGATGCTTCATGAAAAAACTGTTCTCCAACAGATATATATCTCCGAAGTGCTTTTGACCTTTCTAAGCCAGCAGACGGATCTAGCAGGTCCTTAATGATGCAGGAAATGTCATCTTGGTTAGAACATATAGAAGCTTCACTATCAAGCATGGGTTCTACTGATATTGTCGTGTTCAAAAGCCCATGAGATTCCATTTCGTCTTTCCATATTTCCACCAACTTTTTAAAACTGAAGGGACAATGAAATTATGTCCAGTGAGAACATTATATTCAAATAGTAGCATATCATCTGACAAAACAAGGAAAATTAGACTGAAAACTTTGAAAATGTATGTCAAGGGAAGAAAAATAAGGTTAAAGAAATCAAGTGATGAAATTTAACCCTCAAATGTGGATTTTTAGTTTTGGATGTATTGCAAAAGGAAAACAAAAGAAAAAATCTTGAAATTTTCTTTGAAAATATCTCTCCAAATTCTCTCAGTTGAAAATGGTGTTTACCCACCCAATATAGTAGTCAAACCTAGTTCTATAGATTTATAAATTTTTACCTCATTCATAATGAGTGGGCAACAATCTGGCCGTTAGTCAATCTCTAAAAACAACAACTGGAATGTAGTTCACTATTTGCCTATGTCATTGTTATCTTTTAAGTGTTTAGCTCATATATATTGCTGAATAAATTAACAAAAATGAAATCTTTGATGATAAATTTTGAATGTCTAGAGTTCAAAAACTCTTAAATATCTAAGAAAATAGAGAGAGAAACTCAGATGAGAAAGGCATACCTATCATAATATCGATGCAACTTCTTGGTTGGAAACCTCAATGTTTGAATGTAAATGTCAGCTAGGAAGCTCCAATGCTTAAGAGAGAACTCAAACTCAATGTATTTATCCCACAAGGTATGGCATAAATAATCCTTTCCAACAAAGGATAAGGCTCTTTTGAACAATCTGTTTAGATAACGTTAGTGAAAACTATTAATTGAACTAGGCAGAAAAATTCATGCCCTATTGAGAAGTTCTGGGCATTAAAAACTGTATGGCACCAGAAATGACAGCTATGCATGAAAATGCAGGTTAAACTCATGGGTTCAAAAACTATTCCTTCAAAATTTTATTCCGGCACATAATCATACAAAAGAATATTCCCTTCGTCCCAAAAAGATTGTCACATTTTTCTTTTCTACAAATTTTAAGAAAATGCAATTAATGTAGTGATAATTTATGTATTTCTCTTTTCTACCCTTATGCACATAAGATGTCATTAAATGCAACTACATGTAAAAGTGAATTTATTGAAGGGTAAAATAGGAAAAAAAAAAGCTTTAAATGCATACTATAAATAAAATTGGACAATCATTTTGGGACATCCCAAAATGGAATAGTGGACAATCTTTATGAGATAGAAGGAGTATTAAAATTCTTCTTTAGAAAAATTCAACAGTTTTAACACATGCATTCGGACTATTTCGTGATAGAAAAATCTAGTTGCTCTGAATGATTCTAGTAAACCAGTGAGTTAAGTTACTATTTGACATTTTCCTAATCTGTCTAATTGTATGAAAATTATGATCAAAGTGCTAACAAATAACAATGAACTCAAAAATACAAGCATTTGTGGGTTCAATGTGAAAATTATTATGGATTAAATTATAAGAAATTTTTGAATTCAAGAATGAATGTTTGTGAATGATGTGGATATTATTTGAAAACGCTTAGAAGCATATATGCCAATAATGAAACTGTAGCATCTGGGTGATATGAACATAGGCTCATAATTGAGGGCATACGTGAAGGCATCTACACATAACAATTGATGATGCAATCCAATATGTAAATAAATCTATGGACATTAACTTGATGCCGAGTTGTTTATAAATAGTTGTGAATCTAGATCAGAATCGAGAAATTCTTATTTGTAGAATCGAGAATTGAATTGAATAGCAAGATTCAGTATAACCTTTCGAAATTAATTAAAAATAACATATATACATATAGATATATTTCCTATTAATTTTATTGAAAGATACTAAAAATTCAATTGCAAATAAATGCATTTAAATAAATTTCAATTCCAAATTATATAGTAAACACAAAATAAAAAAGTGCACCTAATGACTTGAGTAGTTCCCAAATTAAAAATTTCAAACTACTAAGTTAAATTTCTTTTTTCTTAAAAAAAAAAAAAAAAAAAAAAAAAAAAAAAAAAAAAAAAAAAAAAAAAAAAAAAAAAAAAAAAAAAAAACCTAACTACAAGCCATTAAATTTTCTAGTTCAAATGCCATATCAATCGCATCCCTTACATCCAAAAAAAAAAAAAAAAAAAAAAACCTAAACTATCAAGCCATTAAATTTTCTATTCAAATGCATATCAATCGCAGTCCTTCATCGTCTTTACCTTCTATTTTAACCATATCCTATTGCTCTTCTTCCTCTACTTATCCACTTGTTTTGTCGGGAATGAGAATCGACTCAAATCAAATGATCGTATCACGTGAATCGTAAGATTCATACTCAATTTCAATTCACCTATAAGATTGGTATCGTTGTGCATGAAAATTGAATCGAAGTACAAGATTCGAATCATGAACCATAAATTCTAATTACAGTAGTTTTATATCTAAGAGGCAACAGTTTATATATAATCTCTGAACCATGTACAAGAAAAAGGAGCTGATTCTATTTCTTAAGCAGGATTAGCAATGGGGACGGGTTATTGTAGAATTAGCAACACAGAAGTGCCAGAATAAGTACAGCTGATAATGGATTTAGAAGCCAAATTCGGAGTTTTATTTAATTAAGATTACCTGCGAACATCAGATGGATCTTCAAAAACTGCTCTCCCAAAATTACAGTAGTCAACCCACACATCAACAGAATAAGTTGCCAATGACACAGCTCGCTCAAAGACTTCAAGAACCTTGTCAATAGTGCACAAGCGTATCTTGTGATTAACATACTTCCTCCAATAAACACAGCACAGAGGAAACTCAGACAAGAAAGCGTCATACACTAAGCATATTGTTTCTATATTTTCCTGCACAATTTCGCAGAAGAGCACTAATTACATTCGTCAAATCAATAACCAGTAAGCAGCATCAATAAATCACACTGAAACTTTAGCCGTGACAATTTTGAACTTAGAATAGAAACACATGCAAAAGTGAAGCCATCTCATCAAAGTAACAAATAAAGTGAGGCCTAAAGATACGTTAAGACAGAGATAAAATTTATTTGGAACTTACAGGATAAGTTTTCTCAATCTCTACTATAAGTGAAGTCCACTCATCAAAGTCTAATGAGCCATTAGCAATAACTTCACGTAGTTTGATCTTGTCCAAAACAACTGTGTAAACAAAAGCAAGCAATTGCATCACTTATTCAGGAAACCAAGCAATTCACAAATAAAAGCACTGCCCAGCAGTTTAAAGAATGAGATGATAAGATAAATTAGGGAAAAATAAAGAATCAATTGCGATAGCTGCATTTAAACACTCAAAAATTAAGGAAAAATAGAAGTTTCTTCTAAACAATTCAAATTTTTGTATTTTTGCAGAGAAAAACAACAAATTGATGCAATTCATTACAGAGACAAAACTCAGCTTAGCACGCAAACTAGCAATAGAGACCGAGATATAGATAATGTTTACCAGTAGCTTCCCCTTCCATTAAGTGGCGCTCTGTTTCAGCGTTTGAAATTTGTTCCTCCATCTCTTCGACAAATTCCGATCCTTTAAAAGTTGTTTCGATTTTATTTCTATACATCCGACAGAGATACAGAGAGCTTGTTTTGTCAGTTAGGCCAAGGCATTCAGATTAACCAAAAAAGAGCCAAAATGGGCCGAAAACCTTAAGGCCAGCCTGATCCGTTACTAGGCCTTCCATAATCAGGTCCAAGATAAGCCCATAGATTTGTACGTTAGAGTTGGACATTTTTCTTGTTTATTTATTGGCCTTTTATCGAGTAAGCAAACCTGGGTTTGTAATGAGCCGAGTCACTCGTCGGTCGTTTCAGGTTCGACCTTTAAAAAAATTAATTTCAACTCGTTTGATAAATTTAATGAGTTAAGACTAAGTTTATTTATCAAGTATTTTAAATGAAGAAGTTGAGATCGAGCTTGAATTCAAGCATGTAAAGGGATAACCTTTTTTTAACTATTCATTATAAATTAGTTGAGCTCGTATTGAGTCTAGTTTTCTCAAGCCAAACCGAGTCAACAAAATTAAGTTTAGTTTGATTCGTTTACAGCTTAAGCAAACCCAGTTATGTCCGTCTCACCAATCTCTTTCAAGCTTATCTATCCATCATTAATAATTAATAATAACAACTTAATAGTCAATAGTTCATGTGATATGTGGCTGGTTACTCTAAACTAAAGACCTTCCAAATGATGCCTGCTCGTTTGTGATTAATTATTGCTATAATTTGTAACTCCATGATTATAATTGCTAGCTCCACCAAAATCTCATTGTAGCCTCTTCATTTCCCATTCCATGCGCCTGACGTAATTACCATTAATGTCATCTTCAGTTCCTCCATGTATATATAAACACCATCGTCTCATACCTTTTTTTATCAATCTGTCTCTAGCTCTCTCAAGTCACCACTCTCAAAATGGCTTATTACCCTCTTAAGTTCCTGCTTTTCGTTGCAATCTTGGCAACTAGCTTAGATTATTTCAATTTCAGTTCTGCGCGTCCATTAAGCTCGAGCTCAAACCTTATGGCTAGACTGAAACTAGATGAAGAATCGCCAAATTGCTGGGACTCTTTAATACAACTTCAAGCTTGCAGCGGAGAGATTGTTATGTTCTTTCTCAATGGTGAAACTTATTTAGGCCATAGTTGTTGCCATGCTATTCGTATAATTAGCGAACAATGTTGGCCTAACTTGGTTGATACAATCGGGTTTACTGATGAAGAAGGTGACATACTGGAAGGATACTGCATTAAAGAAGAAGCTGGGAATTCTGATACATTATTAACTCCTCCTCCACCGCCGCATGTGGTGCCTAATAAGGTTGTTCCTTGAGTAGAGTTTGTCTTTGTAATAAGTTGGTGAAGGACAGTAGTCAAATGTTGCTGGTCATGGTAACTTGTTTGAGAGTAAGTGAAGTGTTTCCTCGTCGTGTTTGTTTGCTTTCTTGTTTGGAATGTTAACTAATCAATAAGAGTTTGTTGCTATGAAATTCTAGTTGTATCAACTTAATTCCATTTGAGTTTAGTTTCCAATTCGGCAATAATTTTCTTATTCGTTTTGCAATTAAACTGTAATGGAATCAATTAAATAGTAACATCAACCTTTCGATATCGAAAAATGCATTTAATAATCGAAAATCTTTACTACTTACTGTACTATTGGAAGTTACCACTATTTTTGCTTAAATCTTAAACCAGATCAAAATGTTGTTATAATTTTTATTACCTACATGTTTTAAGGTATTTATGTATTTTGCACTTAACACATAATTTTCACAATTAGACAGGAATAGAAAAAAAAAAGTGGAAGGCAATAAAATATTACCCACTATAATTAATTATCAACAGCTACTAAATTAGTCCAAAGAGAATTATATGCCTGATATCATAAAATACACACAAGTTTCTAATTTCCAGCAATAAACTTTGTAGCTTAATGCTACGATGACTTCCCATTTTCACTTGCTCCTTCACCCTCCACCTTCCATAACGTTCAAATTAAATATAAATGATAGCATTAATGTTAATATATAAAGTTTCAAATAAAACATAATAATAATAATAATAATAATAATAATAAATATTAACATTGTATTCTCTATATTTTTGTCTTATTTTCTTTTTGATCTCAATTATAGTCCATTTTCTTTTTTAGAAAAAGGTAATTTTTGAAGCTTTTATTCTATTCCTATTTAATATGCATTTCTATTAACAAAGTCATTATTTTTGCCGCTAATATTTGCCAAATTCATAATTTTTATTGCCTTAACTCTTGTTTTAGTCACAAATTAAAATTTCATTCCTCTTGTATGGTATTTATAAGACTTGAGAATTTAGCTCCGTTAAATTATATAGTACTTACTTAAAAAAGAAAATCACTAGATCCGTTATATGGAATCGTGAACCGACGACCGCTCACGTGGCAGCACGCTAATGCTTTGAATTAAAGCAAAAATCATCAATAATAATGCACAGACTACGAATAGACTCACACCAATAAAGAGCCGCCATGTATAATAATAATAAACGGCACCACATCAACCCAACCCACTCTATTTCTACTCTGCTGCAAGCTGCATGTTATTTCTAACAAACGCTTTGCTTTCACTCCGTGTTGAGCTCTTCTTGCTCTGTCTGGCCGGTGGACAGAGAGATATAGACACGACAAATATATACAAACAAGAAACCAACGAGTTAAAAAATGGTGAGTCTGTGCGTATCAGCAGCGCCAAATCTTTTCGCTCTCCGCCACAACAGCAAAAAGAGCTTTTTTTGTGCAGCACAAAGTGCACGTTGCCAGTGGAAGCTCTCTTGTGGTTTGCCTCGACTTTCGAGCTCTTGCAGCTTCAATCCTCTCAGGTTTGAGTTGTTTAAGTTTACGCTCACTCAATTAGGATCTGAATTTTCATTTCTAATCAGAAATTGTTTGTGAGCTTTTGGCAGAATTTCGATTAACAGAAATGATATGATGGTGAAGAATAAAGCGAGAAGACTTGGTACAGTTTGCTATGCTGGACCTCTCTCTGCTCGTAACCTCCAATGGATCTCCATTATCTCCTCTTCGTACGCCTCTCTCACTCGAAACACATTACATTATATATAAGAAAAGGAAGATTCTAACTTTTATTATGTTAAATTGGTGGAATAATATTTCCTAATTTTGTAATTAATTTCCATTTTTTAGGGTTCTGATGCTTGCCAGGGGCACTGCTATCCATAAGTCTTTCCTCGTTCCATTATTAGCTCTACAGGCGCCACCAAATGTCATTTCTTGGATAAAGTGAGTTCTTTATATATTAAAAATATATATTTTTTTTTCTCTTGCTCCTAATTGTGTTTATTCAGTTTGTGTGTGGTTGGCTTGTGGCTTGGTGGACTCTTACGACGCTTTTTTGCAGGGGAGATTATGGTATTTGGGCTGCTTTCTTGGCTCTTCTTGTCCGTCTCTTCTTCTTTATTCCTGGTAAATTTTGTTGCTAAATACTTGGATTGGATTGTGTGTAAGCATAGACAAGAGCTTAGAATTAGATTATCCTTGGCCACTATCATTACAAGATGGCATTTGTGTTTACAGCTTGTGAATACAGCTTGTATTGACTAATCTCACTTAAGCATATGCACTAGCACCCGCTGATTCTTTCCTCCACTGGTTTTTACTATGGCGAGGCATTTAATAGAATCTCACTAACAATGAATTTGTTGCTGCTAACCAGCTGCAACCAAAACAAACAAAGGGAATCTTTGTAAACATCTCAAGCTGAGAGAAGAATGATAACTGTATGAAAATTTAGGGATGATGGCTCTGTTTTCAGATTTATTGGTAGATCCACTTTCCTGTGGAAGTTGGTATATCAGTAACTAGTTTAAGACGTGGCCTTTTGCTGTCCCAGACCTCTGAATGTTATGTTGGCTCTTTTCCCTTATGCTTTTCATGGCTAATTATGAGAAAAATAATGAAATACTGACAAATTTAATATTGATATTGTTGTTAGGGGAACTTGAATTGCCTTTTATGGCACTACTCTTCATACTTCTGACTCCCTATCAAGTAATGAACCTAAGGTTAGCAGATGCATTGTGTGAATACAGGAAAACTGTTATTTTTTCTTTTCACTGTCTTATATTTGTTTTTGATATTTTGTATTGACAGGGGAACCCAAGAAGGGAATATCATTGCCTTGGTCATTGCAGGCTATCTGGCTTTCCAGCATTTTTCACGGGTTGGCAACTTGCAGAAAGCATTTGAGCAAGGTCCAATAGTTGCCACCTTAGCCATCATCTGTATCACCATCATCTCATGCTTGTTCTTGATCTGAATTTAACTTAGACTGGTGCTTTCTGTTATTAATCATCTGTACATTAGTGAAAACAAAGGATAACAGAATAATGGAATAATCATAAGTTATGATCCTTTATTCTCATGTAATAATAGGGTCTTGACATATTTGAAAGGAATAAAATGTCTAGTCTTTCAACCTGTATTAATATGTTGGTTAGAAAAATTAATAACCAGTGTACAGTTGCCTTCGTTTTTATATGTATTTGTATCTTTAGTAGATTCCTGTATATAGAGTTTTGCTTCTTGTTCCTTAGTATGCATCGAGGGTAAGCCTATATTCTCCATTTAAGACAGATTCATGAGATGTGAAACACCAAAATTGGTTTTCTAAAGTGGAGTTGGATGATGCTAAAAATACAGAAATTTCAAGCTCAATCTAATTTCAGTTACAACCTTTGTTCTTTTTATATAATCAAAGCTTACTCTCTTATTGTTATTTTTTAACAAATTTTGAAAGTCAATAAAAAAATAAGAGGGAAAATAGTTGTAGTGTTTTAGAGTAGAGAAATAGTTTTGAACATTTGAGAATGCTGAGCTCTGTTCTTTTGAAGATAAGAAAGAGGTTAATCACGTCTTAGCATTATTAACCAGACAATAGAATACAATAGTTTGTCTAGTGTTTTACTCCTTTTGACAAAATTCCTTATATCTATGTAATACTGCTACTATCTTTCAGAAGTTTTTCATATGTTTAGAATATTTGGCACTTATTCCTATGCAGTGGCTTTTCATGCAAAGTGACCTATAACTTCTATGCTTACGATAAAATGTCAAGGTCATAGAATAGTTCCAATCATTCTATTACTTAAAGAAAGTTGCCAATTGTCTTCTATTAAATGTTGGTGCTTTTGGTTATTTTGATTTGAAATATGTTAGCTAAGGACAACTATATCTTTAAGTAGTTCTAATGCCATTTATTCTGAACGTTTATGTTTCTTTTGCTATTCTCATTCATAAATAAATTCATGTGGTAGCTAATAACAAGTACATATTTCTTCTCTGTATATGTAGTTCTAAAGCCATAAAAGCTTATCTAGTACTTTATTATACTAAACTGAGGAGAAAATAACTATTCTAACTTGCCTACAAGTACAATAGCCTATAACTTTCTATGTTTTTCTTCATTCCTCCGATCTTCTTAATCGACTAATACGCATAAATAGCAGTATAGAAAATAGACTTTATGGTGAAAATGAGGCTTTGAGAAAACATTGGGACATTGATTCTCACTGCCTGCTTAGAAGTTGATGAAGTTTTGTGGCAAGCAAGGAAAGTGCCATCTCATTTAAGAGACAAACAAACAAACGCAGTTTCCATGCGCTTAGATATGACTTGCAGCAAGAAGTGATCCAATAATAGCGGTTGCAGAACAGAGGAGCAGTAAACTGCATGAAACTGAGGTTGCTGAGCTGGGCAACCCTGTCGGTTCTGCCACCCCATAAACTGTTGGTCCACTAGGTGTGGTTGTTAGTGGTGGAGTCATCGTAGTTGGAGATGTGGTTATTGTTGGTGGTGTTGGTGTTGGATTGGCTGGTGGAGTTACACTGTATTTGCAGAACTGTGAATCAGTCATGTATTGCAGTACTTTTGCAAAAAGGAATTATTTTAGAGATGAATATGAAACATTACCTGGGTGTTGAGGTGGGTGATGCATAGTGACAGTTTCCATTACCTGAAAATTGCAGTATAAGTTTCAGAAGCTCTTAAAGATGAATTGCCTGATTATATATCATGAGCATTTCTTACTTGGATCAGTGCTGGAAAGTTGTGCTGTTCCGCCAAAGACACAACTGGTAGGAACTGGATTCTTCTGGTAGTACTGATTGAAGGCATAAGAAGCATGGTCCCGGAGAGTGTTTGGGTTATAACAGCTTGCACCCGGTTGAATTGCTGAACAGTCTGCGCCGCCATAGCCACATGCATAGTCAAGAGCTACCTGTAAAGCAGTTTCTGAAGCTGTTGGACTTGCAATGCACCATGACCCTCCGGATGTGGTTGGAGTCGGAGTTGTAGCTGTTGGGGGTATTTGAGGTGTTGTTATGCCTGAAGGTGGTGGTGGGGGAGATTCTATAATAGGAGTTATTGTTCCTGTTCCAGTTCCTGGAGTTGTTGTTCCAGTACCTGGAGTTGTTGGATTGACAATTGGAACTGCTCCTGTATCATCTAATTGGGTGGCGAACACGGAAGGTGAGAAAAATATCTGGTCTTCTTGGTTTTCTGCTGTTGTGGTTTTCTGGATTCCTTCCAGGGGAGGTGTTTCTGCAACATTTGTACCTGAAGTAATCAAAAGGTAAGGTAAGTCTTCTTTTCCTTTTTGAATTATCAAGGAAACTGCGTGATTCAACTTTGAATTTCTCATGTCAAGTTCATTTTCTATTTGATAATCAGCTATTGAAACGAATATCGTTTAAGGAAATATAGAGGAGTCAAGTTCAAGCATAAAATATAATCAGGAGTTCTAAGGTTCATAATAAAAAGCTGGGTAAATATCTGATGCCTCTATCCCCTACATAATTGGACATGGACATGTAATTGAAATTCTAAATTCAAACCAATAGTGTACTATCCACTGGCTCAACTGTTCTTGTATTTAGATTCGAAACAAAAAAAAATTGATGCAAGAAGATCAAAAAAAATTAAAATAGACATTTAACATTATGATTGAAAAATAAAAACAAACATTACTATGATTACTGAATTAGAAGTAGCATGAACTTGGTGTTAGAAATAAAACAGGACAAATATAGAATAAAATTTAAAATGAAAAACAAAATGGAAATTATTATACTCTAAATACTTATAGGAAAAGAAAAAGAAAATCATTTGATGTTTGATTGCATTTCAACATTCTTTCTGATAATAGCTACTCATTTATTTTGATTATCTGATCCCAAAGACATGAAGGCAAATATCTCCATATTATATTCCAATACAAGACTAGACATGAAAAACAAATAAGCAAATCCAAACAAGCTTTCATTATCCTCAAGTACATTAAAAATCACCTGAATTGAGTAAAAGATAGAAGAGGAAGATTGAGAAATATTGGAAAACTTCAGAACCCATGATACTGAGCTGCTTGTAAAATGTGGTTTAGAACTTTTCTTGTGTATCAAGAACAATGATTGAGAAGCTAAGAGAAGTACCAATGGTGTTAATGCAAAGAAGAGTTTAAATATCATTCTTGTATATGTTATATGAATAAAACTTGAAGAATCAAAGCTTCCTTGAATCATAGAGGGACGGAAAGAGAGAAGGCTTGAGAATATCAGAAAACTTGAGAAAGGAGGCATTCGGTAGCTAAATTTCGCAAGCAAGACAAGGTGCAAAGGAGAGGCAAAAAGAAAACGGAAAAAAGGCAAAAGGTTGATATGTTGGAGATTTAAATCTGATGTGTTTGGTGTATTGATAGTTAAATAACAGAGGGTGAAGGGTGTGAAGATGTTGTGGCATTTTCTTTTTCTCCTTTGCAGTTAGCTTTCTACTGTTACGGGACTGAATCAAAAGTTAAAGTTATTTGGATACGCCTGAGTAATTGTAATAATAAGATGCTTAACCGATAATTAACCAGTTGGGTTTGTTTTGTTTTGTTTTGTTCTAATAACATTGCGGTGATAGAACTTTAGGTGCAAGCTGCCCAAGAAGATGATGAGGATTCCTTGTCTTGTTTTATAAAAAAACAAAAAGTTGAGAATTTTGCCTTATTCAGCATAAACCTGGTAAAAGATTGTTGGATATTTGAAATCGAATCTACCTTTCATTTTAGTTGTGCATACAGGCATATACCTCATCTATGGAACCCTCTTCTTTTCCTCTATTAATAGGTTTCTTTTATATATAATATGAAATGAAATGCGTTCGAATTTTTGATTTTATAGGTAAAATTTGTCGGGAGATGCAATCTATTAGTAAAATTCTCTTGAAAATTCAGTTTATTTTTACTAATCCAATAGCTTATTGATTAATTTGTAGAATATTTTTTTTCAATATTAGATAAAACTTGGTATATGGAATCAAGAGCTTTTCTTGTTGAATGGACTCCGTCACCATTGGTCAAATGTATTTGATAGTCTATTACGGAGCAACGAAAGCATCTTTTTGTTTTTCTTTTGGTTAAATGCGTAAATTCATTCACGTATTTTGCATATATAGTAAATTTTATTGCACCTTCAATTCTTATTTCGACAAATTAAAAATTTTACCTATTGAATTCTTAATTTGTAAAATTATTTATTGAATATTTAAATTTATAAAATTAATTATATTAAAGATTTATTAAATAATATGAAAATTTTATTCTAAAAATTATACTAACTACACATCAAATTAATATCCTACTATAAATTAATATTTTAGGCGTTATAAAGGTTTTTTTTTTTATGAATTAATATTTTAGGCGTTATAAAGGTTTTTTTTATGAAGTACGAGGATGAACCTATGCATTTATCCTTATGTTTTTTAACATACACGTTCTCACCGTAAACTATATTTATGTAGATATAAAGAAAAAGAAATACCCTTGGAAAAATACTAGATGTCATCTCATTTATAGACTCTTCCTTGTTGGATCATCGGCAATCAATTGAAAATTTGGAGAACTGATTCCCCCCCTCTCTCTCTCTCTCTCTCTCTTTTTTTTTTAAATTGAGAAAAGAGTTGCGTAAACTGAAAGTGAAATATTGGAATTGAATTGGAGATTAATATTAAAGTTAATATTTTAAATTTAATATTTCTATATTAAAAAACGAAAGTTATAATCATATAATGCAATTGAAATATTGGCTTCTATCAATAGCTGTAGTTTCCCCGAAAACGATCGTTCGTCTAATTTGGTTTTCAGTGACAGCGCCTCTATAAAGAAGTCTCTGTAGTTGCAAACTTGCAATTGCAAATAACCTTTCACAAGTTCCGAGAAAGTTAAAATTCCATATCGAATCAAATTGTAAGAAATGAAATGTCCTTTTTCTAAACACAAATTTCTAAAAAATCTTACGAGGTTCAACTGATCAACAACTTGGACCTTCCACCAGAATTCAGCTGACATTTTCAATTATCAATGCACATCGAAATGGAAAGGGCATCTCCCCAACCAGTATCTTTGTGAAGCAAGTGATCCATCAGAAATCATGCAGAAGCAGATGCCTTCGGTGGAGACATGCTTTTCAGTTAACATGTAAGTTTGCTTTAAAAGCACAATCACCCATCAGCTGATTATATCATGTCTTCACTTCAATATGCTCAAATTTTCAAGAAACGTACGGTAAACTCAGAGTTTTATCCTTGTTGATTCATATTGCATTGTAATAAATGCCGCGTAACATCACCCCAAGCTGTATATCAAGTTTTCTTCAGATTATAAATGGCTATTGCTAGAAGGGAAGGGATGGAGAACACGAAGATGAATTATAACCTGGAAAATTTCGATAATCAGGCTCTATTCCGTTGCCATTTATGTCCATATGATTTGGTGTGACATACTTCCCAACAGTGACGACCACTCCAGACCCATCGCGAAGCTCAAAAACTGATTGAATCAAACCCTGAAAGAAAATGCAGTAGCGTCAAAGCTATTACAAGGTACCCACTACCATTACTATCGCTCAACTATTACGGCATCATCATTATCCAAATTCAACACTTTTGGATTCCTTGACAAGTGACTGTCCCTACAGATGGACATTTAATGGACTCAAACATATGGGAACCACACTGAAACAGATTACGGTCCAAAGAAATCCAATTTCTGAGCTGATACATGAACAGCCAAGTAGTTGTTCTTTTTGTTTTTTTCACCATCAATGAGGAAATGCACCAGTATGGAAGTTAGATTCAGTGGAGGAGGAGGTCTGCACGCGCTTTGTTATATGTCATAACAAGCGCATTATGAATTGCATGGTAGAAATAGAATTGGTAAACACCATAAATAATATAAATCATTAGCAAATTAAACAAACCTTGCCAAAAGTTCTTTCTCCCACAAGAACTGCTCTACAGTTATCATGAAGAGCAGATGCAACCTGAAATAAGAGCTTCAACAACAGTACCGCAACTGCAATAGCCAAAGAATTGCACATAATTTGGTAAATGAAGTCACTCACAATTTCACTTGCACTAGCAGTTTTGTTGTTCACCAAAACCTACAGAAGAAGTGTTGTGGTTAAAACTGTACTTGTGATCCATCCAAACAAATAATCTCTCAGCTATGACAACACAAATGAAACCTTCAAAAGGGATGTAACAAGAAATGAATCACATATGCCACATGCAAGATATCAAATCTATAACATGTAACACAGACGGTGCCAATAGTATAATAACCAAGACTGAGGCTATGTTTTGGAGCATCAAAGAAGACCAAAAGCATTTGAGAAGCTCCAGTCTCGAGCTTAGGTTTATAATTTGTTGTCCATACATTTGTTGCTTGGCAAAAAAAGAAAAATGATCCACAAATGAACAATCTATTGACAAATAATGCTGCTGGAATAAAATATTTGGATTTTGCTGGTGAGAAGCCTAATTTGATTTATTGATAAAAACAAATAGATTTATAGTTGTTTGGAATGGAGACATGAGAACTTACAATAACAGGAGCTGTAACCAATGGCGCAGTATCAGCAACTATAGTGTTTTGGTACTGGGGATCCTTACCAACAGTATAAATCACCTGTTCTCACACGTCATTAGGATAAAACATCAAATGAATATATCAATTCCTGAGGAACTAAATTCCTGAATTTAGTGCCAGATATTAATGCCAGCTAACACAAATAAGATAGTTTGACATCCAAGTGCATGTGCTCACACCATCCATTGGGAGCTAATAAGAGATTACCTAGCAACTTATCTTTAGGGATGAGAATCACTTAACTAATTTTAAAATTTGGATGACAGAGAAAGTCCCCAAAAAATGAAAAGAAAAACTATTGCAATAGTTTCAGGTATCATATAACGCATGAGCAAGCAAGAAAATGATTCTTCAAAGTTCAAATCTTGTGAACCCACATACCGTCTTCCCTTCATTAAGAAAGAGCTTGGAAATCTCAATTCCAGCCTGAAATCAATAAAAGATTGAATCAAACTAACAAATCAAACTCGACCTCAGAAAAAAAAAACATGGAATGCAGATTATTTATGACCATCTTTTTGACCATTAATTCACAGTACATCTCATTACTAATATGTCATGAAACTTACAGTGTTTGGGAGCTTTTATCAAATAAGGTGTTGAAGGATAGGAATTAATGAGATCTTAAGGTTTAAATAGCAAGAGGTTCCCTTTCCAAACCCATGAGCTCTGGTTTTTTGAAGATATTTATGAATAGGACTGGTAAATTACTAGAGTTGAGTGCAAAACGTAAACTGGATGAGATAACCTGTACTAGTCCACCAAGATTATCTCTAAGATCCAGTACGAAATATGAGGCACCCATGTCTTGAAGTCGCTTCATTGCTGCAATAATCATTATTTACTTAGTTCTGTTAGGCCATCAGGAACTCCATAAATTAAAGCATAACCAACTGAAAAATATTAATAATGTCTTAAGCTCCAGAATAGCATAATCATCCAAGCTCCAAATGGATGTGACCATAAATAGAGAAAATCAAAATAAATAGAAAGAGGGAAAAAAAAAACAATAATAAGCTTAGGGGTACATGGGAGTGTTTGGACCATTCAGGTTCAACAATTTAAAAACAAAAGCACAACCAATGGTGTTTTACAAAGGCATGTGTTGCATCAAAATGGATATAGCACCAAATTTTCTAGTTTGTATTTCTCAACTTTGTAATAGCTATTCTTTCACTTGGTTTTTTTTCCTGTCATTGTAAAAAAATAATATAATGAGAAACAAAGAAAAAAGGTTACTTATTTCACTTTGCTGTCGCATTTTCTCAACTCTTTTTGCGAGAAAATTCAGAAAGACAGAAGTAGAATTAAAGGTCTAAAAACTAGATTTCCATGGTACCAAAAGATATATAGTTTATTTTTTAAACTTCTAAGTATGTTCTCTCTCCTGTGCTCTTTTATAAAGTTAAAAAACTAAGCAGCCTGAGAAAGAAAGGAAAACATACATTATGTAGTTCTTTAATGGGACTTATGTTCGTATGGATATTCATAACAAACAGAAGCCTATGCATCACAAAGAAATGTTATAATACCATAATTACTGCAATAGCAAAATAGATAAATATTTACCAATTACCAAATCTTTTTTGGCCAATGCATTGAACTCCTTTAAGCGCACATACCCAACAGAAGTGGCATCTTTGTTTACTTGTTCCAAGCGGTAAAAGACTGGTGTACGAGCAATGAGTTGCCTTTGAACTTCTAAAGATTGAATAGGTCCACAGTTGCCATGTTTCACCTATAATTAACCACAGAATTCTCAATATATAGTGAAACAATAAATTAATATACTACAAAAAGCTAAAGTAGCAGTCCTCTATATCTTGGGCGAACTTCAAAACCTTAATTGTTACAAATGTTTCATTTGGGCCTTGTAATAAAGATGATACTTCAAAAGCTGACTTCCCCCTGACATCCTCTCCATTGACAGCTAATACTTCATCCCCCTGGCAAAAGAATAAAGAATATAAAGGAAGCTCACTCCATATAGTATTAACAATTTATCTTGCAAAAAAACAAAACAATTAATGATGTCAACCGAATTGAAATGCTTGTATTTTCGACCCAGCTGGATTGATAGATCTAAGAAAATAATATATGCAGATAAATCTGTATCTTACAATTGAATCTACACAAAGATCATAATTTCGGGAACCCACTTGCTAGTGACTTACGGGATAGAAACAATAGAAATAGTGTGATCGTGTCTTCAAATGATAACAGCAATAAAATCAAATACAGAAATTTCCAAGAAAGTGCAGTTGAACTTGATTGCTTTCACTAAAAAATGGTCTAAAATGGCCACATCATATGTATAGGAGCACCGTGCAGATTGTCCAATAGCATGATTTATTTATGCTTACAATGGGAGGGAAGACATTACCTTTCCAAAGGAGTTTGTAATTCTTCTATTCTTATAGTTTAATAAGATATGCACGTATAGATGCTGCTCCAATATAGAATTAAAATGAGCCCGTTCCTAAACCCAGTTGAACCCAAAACCTAGAAATGTTTTTTGGCCCCATGTATCTAATTGATGATTTAATGGGAAAAACACATTTGGCATAACAATAAGTCCCAAATTGTGTATGAAGAATAGGAAGCTCCTTACTAAGCAAAGCAGATAGTTACCCTCCAAACATAAACTCAATCAAGGATAGCTGTGTGATGAACTACAAGAACCAATGCCAATTAAATAAGTATATAAAAAAAGTGGGATCAACATCTGTAGTTTTGGCTTCATGGCTACCTGTCTTACACCTGCAGTATGAGCAGGCCCATCCAGTAGGAGACCTAGTACCTTCAGTTTCCCCATTCCACTCTCGTCAGGAACTTCCCTAAGGTTTATCCCAATACCTGTCATGTCATACCTTGCCATCTTCGAGAACTTTCACAGTAACAAAGGCAATACATTCCATGCAATCAGAAAACTGAAATACATAAGTAAAACCATGTACATATGCAACAGATAAGACTCAAGGACTTGTATGTTTCAAGAGCTTAACACAAACTAGAACACATTGATAAATTAAGGAAGGGTACGGAAAGAGAGGGATTCGAACCCTCGGTAAACAAAAGCCTACATAGCAGTTCCAATGCTACACCTTGAACCACTAATGCATCTTGTAAGAAAAAGTTTTATATCTTAAAAGACGACTTGTTAAGAACAAATAATTGAGAAATGTGAATTAAGATCTATATTATATATTGTTCAGTAGGCTCTAGCTAGGATTTGAATTCACCAGCCATGTAGCGCTTGAGACAACTCCTAAGTTATTCAGTCAAAACTTATTGGTTAGATTTTCTATTCAAAACAAATATGTCTTGACCCAATCTAATTAAGATCGGGCATAAGGATTGCTTCCCCCTTCCTATCCAATTTAGGATTACATCTATAGAAATGTTTCAATGATACTCCATCATTCACAACCACTTTGCTAAGATCATTCTAAGTTGACCTCTCACATAATGATATTAGAAGGCATTATTTATACAAGAAGAAAATCAGGAATAACTTATTACCAGCCTGATGCTTAAGGTAACAGATGCTTCTCATATCAAGTCACCAAAGCAACAACATTAGCTGCCCTGTCATATGTAGATACCAGCTGCACCTCCTCGGGACAAACTAGCAATTTTCTATATGCACATTCTCAATCCAAGTGCATATAATTTATAAAGCAGATGCTCTATGAAGCTTGCTTCACAAAAACAAAGTGTTGCTACAAGAGATTTCTTACGAAGTAAGCTATAACTAGTCTTTGCATCATCTACTGCCTCTGAAAATAACTTAGCACAATAATTTCTTTTCAGTAGTTGATCTGCTTTAAATCAACAATTTGGCTATACACCTAGGCGTCAACCATTGAAAGTCCTAGGGAAATGATTACAAAGCACATATCTGGGAACTGCCACTAAAAAAAATTAAAATTATTGAAGAGAAAACAGAAGGGAATCATGAAGAAACTTGACCCACTTACCTCAGCAGGTGAAAGAAAACGTGTATAAGGGTCACCCAAGCTAGCCAGCATCCTCTTAATTATATCATGAGCCTTCGATCTACTCTGAATGGAAGTGCTCAAAATATCCTCTCTTTTTTGCTGTAAGCAGAACAACGGTTCTGCGTCAAACATAGTCACAAACTATCCAATTGATAGCAAGTATGAATGCAATTTTTACATAAAGTGTAATCTTTCTTGTTCACCCAAAAGGATAACGCGTAATCTTTCTTAATAACTCGTCGTCTTTCTGAATTCACAAAACAGTATCTCCTTTTCCAATGCGGCTTGGCTCCCCTAACAGACATGCCATGTCTCCCGACGATTGTGCAAATGTTATCGTTCTTCAGAAAGGACAGCCGTTATCCGAACGACATGAGCATAGTCACATAGATTACAGCTCCTTAAAACGGACTGCTTGTGTCGTTCATTGCGAAATGGCTAATAGTTTACATAAATATTAATCGTTAAAAATGACAAGTTGGTCTCCTAAGAGCAAGCCATTTTCCCGTGCGGTGTGGACAAAAACAACAAACAGACGACATGCCATGAGATGTTCATAACAGCCAGTTTATACAGAAAAGACTCACGGTTAAAAATGACATAGCCTCCTACAAACGCATCCATTTTAAGAGGTTTGCCATTTCGACATGAAAATGCTAACTAATTTGAAAATTTGGGAACAAATTTGAAAAACTTCCAATAAAAAAAGAAATGAGACAAAGTAATCGATCACATTAGTGAATTTTGCGTTTGATAGTTACCTGCCAAGATTCAGGAGTCCAGCGATGGCGGCCAGTATCTAGAAAGCTGTCGTTAACTATCTGCCAAGCTTCCTCCACAATTCCCTCATTGGTCACCGCTTGAGGTCCAGTAATCTCTTCTCGATATTTGTTTTCCTCTTCTTCTGAACAATTCTCTATCGAAGAATTAGGCGGAGTAGAAGGCGATTGTAGTTGTACCGACGGGGGTGATGACACTGATGCGAGAGAAAATGGAGAAGATAGTAAAAGGTTCAAAGAGAGAGCTCCAGTGAAAGCTCTAAGTAAGGCTTTTTTGGCCCAGTTGTTGTTGTTAGTGCTGAAGCTGAGGATAATCGGAGGTTTATTGGTTAGTGTTGCTGAGGATGATGCTGATGATGATGATAGCGGGAGTGCAGAGGATGAATTACAGTGGCAGAGTAAGACCCTCATCTTCGGCAGCAGCTTCGTTGCTGGTTGGTTTGGTTGGCCAAAACTTAAAACCAATAATGCTCAATCTACCTCCAAGTGGTGATGACGCTGCCAAAATTTTAGAAAACAAACTATATATAAACAATTCTCTATCGAAGACATTAGGCGGAAGTAGAATTGGGCGATGTAGTTGTACCGACGGGGGGTGATGACACTGATGCGAAAGAGAAAATGGAGAAAGTGATAGAATAAAGGTTCAAAGAGAGAGCTCCAGTGAAAGCTCTAAGTAAGGCTTTTTTGGCCAGTTGTTTGTTGTTAGTGCCTGAAGCTGAGGATAATCGGAGCGTTTCTATTGGTTAGTGTGTGAGGATGATAGTAACTGATTGATGATGTAGCGGGAGTCCAGAGGTATGAATACAGTGGCAGAGTAAGGACCCCTCATCTTCGGCAGCAGCTTTCGTTGCTGGTTTTGGTTTGAGTGGCCAAAACTTAAAACCAAATAATGCTACCATCTACCTCAAGTGGTTGCATGACGCTGCCAAAATTTCTTAGAAAAAACAAAAAACTAAATTTAAATACATATATTAACTCCATATATAAGTATAATACTATATATATATATATAAGAAAACAATATTTTTTATTGTAACAAATATTTTTAGTGAACATTAAAATTTTTAAATTAATCCAGTGGTTAACACTCATATAATAGATTTAAATATATTTTTAGTTTTGTTCATCTAAATAAAAATTTAGAAGTATATTTTGCTTTGTAAATATGATTAATACTCATATAATAGATTTAGCTATTATTTTAATATATTTTTAAATTTCATTAGGATTTATCAAGATTGTTCATCTAATTTCATAATTTTTTTTTTTTTGGATAAAAAACAAATTTGATCCTTTAACTTTTATTAAATGCTTAATTTAATTTACAATTAATCTTTAGATCAATTTATGATAAAAATTTTAAGCGATTGTCACTGTTGCACGGAATATAAAATTTATGTATTAAATATATTTTCCTGTCTATAAAACTTACAGTAATAATTATTTTAATTTATTTTTTTATAGTTAGATTTTTCTTTAAAGTTATTTTCTATAACTCTTTTTTTTTTTTTTTTTTTTGTAACATCTATAACTAAATATTATTTTTCAATTAATTGAATTGTTCACCTCATTCTTTAATACCCTTTCCTTTCACTGAAAAACTAAAAATGAACAACCCTGGTTTCTTACCATGCATTAGATGAATGGCTTTCCAAAAAATTTTTTTTTTTTTTTTTGTAACATCTATAACTAAATTATTATTTTCATATAAATTGAAATGTTTATTCTTTTCCCTTTTCCTTTCACTGAAAATAAAATGAACACCCTGGTTTCTTATGATAGATGAATGCTTTCCAAAAACATGCAAAAATATTTGAAGGAAATTTACATAGCAAATTCAATTTCTCAATGATAAACAACATATCTATGTGGTATGTTTATCTGCTTCTTGCATAAATAGAAAATAAATTATTAAATTATTAAAATGTTTATCTAATTTATTAAATTATTAATACATTTAACGGTTAATAGATTATCTCCATATAATTTAATTTAATTGATTGTGGAAATTTTGGATTTAAATCATTTTATACCGCAAAAATTATCATAAATTTTATAAATGTTATTTAAAAAAAGTCTCAATTGTTGTTCATAATATTAAATCGAATTAAAAAGCTAAAATCTAACTATAGGGAGTAGTTTTTTATTAAATAAATATTATATTTCTCTATTGTAAGATTAAATTTATTTTACTTTTACCTAAGCATAATAAAACGTTAAAAAAGTCGAAAAAATTTAAAATTTTAAAAGGAAAATTTTTTAACAATTAAATTGAAGAATATAACTTAAAAATAAAAAAATAAATGGAAATTCTCAAGTGAAGACGGTGCAGGTAAACCTTGGACTAGGTTTGATCTGCCGTGATCAGTCGGCCGAAGTCCATCATGAAGTCCACTTGAAAGCCCACTTGTGAACTCCCGAAAGGCTAAAAGCCTAAAACGGTGACGTAAGTATGTCATCCACTGAGAGGTATGGATGAGTACGTGGAAATTTTTTATTCGGACACGGCACATTAATATTTTATATCATTATTTACCCCTACCTACTAATTGGATAAATACAATCATTCTCTTTTCCTAACTCGCTTTATTAGCGCGTTGTCTTTCGCTAAAGCTTTGATTACGAGTCTATCGTATAAATTTAATTCTTATAATAGTTATAAACTGTTTTAATGGCTGTCAATTGATTTATTAGTGGTTAGCTACAGTTAAATATTAGTTATTGCTGGTTAATAATTATATAGCGATTTAGAATGAAAGTATTCGGTATAAATAACTGTTTAATTAGCTGTTTATGAAAATTAGGAACAAGGTAAATACAAGTAATAGATATAGGTGTCATAAATAAATTATAAAATCTTATTTTATGAAACATTGTCTTAAACTCTAAACACTAAGGTAGTTATTGTATTACGGAACGTTATAATTAATTAAGATAGTGTTTTTAACTTTATCAAAATACTGAACACCACTTCAAAAGTTGTTATCGAACAGAACTTATGTAAAAATAGTACATATGCGGAATACATAATTTACTATTGTACTTCACAAAAAAAATTTTAAAACACCATAAATTTTATGTTGAATCTATTGTGCTGTATTTTTAAAATTATAAATTTGATAATATCATATATGCTTGTTACTGTAATAATAATAGCTTTTTTGGCGTGCCTTTTTAAATTATTTTTACAACATTATTTTATATGTATTAAAAAATGTAATTAATATTATACGAATAATAAATTTTTTCATACATTTTTCCCAATATATAATATGACAATATAAAAAAAAAAAAAGAAAAACACACATAAAATATTAACAAGTCTAAAAAACATACAATGTCAACCTCTAGCAACTATATTGTCATATCTCTTCAATAAAGGAAATGCATCCATATTTAATATGTAAATCTTTACATAGTTTTTATTACACGGTAATTTGTTTTAGTAGAATTGGAAAGTGTAACTTTCCTTTCACACCATAAAACAAATCTACCATTATTAAGCTTGATTCGGTTTATTGGGGAGGTTTGATGATTCGAATTTGAATGCTTGGCTAAGTTAATTTTTTTTTTAGATTTTAATAATAAAATAAATTTTTGCTCATAAAAAAAAAAGAATGATTCTATATATTACTCCAAAGTAAAAAAAATATATATGAAAAATAATGAAGCTGTAATACCCCGAATTTTTATTTTTAAAACTTTAGAATTTTTATTAAATCAAAAATCTAGATTTATGTTGATATGGGCTATTAAGATCGAGTAATTCTAATTGAGCCCACTTTAGAATTTTTATTAAATCAAAAATCCAGATTTATGATAATATGGGCTGTTAAGATCGAGTAATTCTAATTGAGCCCAAAGTTTTACGAATTGGGCTCAAGTCCAAAAATATATTATTTAGAATTTTCGTTTGGGTAATACTTAAAATTTCGATGAAAATAAAATGGAAAACTAATTGTTAATCGATTAAAAATGTGTCTATATATATGTAACTACCATATAAATTAATCAGCCTAAAATTAAAAATCTTTGTTATTAATATTTTATGAATAAATTGAGAAAATATTACGGAACTGAACAAAATAATCAAATAAATAACTAAAGTGTGTATGTGTAATATCCCAAATTTTTATTTTCAAAACATTTGAAATTTTAATAAATCAAAAATTTGAATTTGTGATGGTACGGACTTAAGTACCGAGCAATTTTAATTTGGGCCTAAATTGTGAGTTGGGCCCAAGCCCAAAACACATTATCAAAATTTCTGGATTGAGAACCTTTAGAAATTTTCAAGAATGAATATGGAGCCCTAACTATTAATGTATTTTAAATATGTAAATATGAGTGTGGTTAATACCTGAATTAATTATCTTGAAAATCGAATATCATGATTATTAATATTAATATTAAGTAAATTGAAGAAATGTTATAGAACCTAATTAAATTAATAAAAACAAACCAAACCAGATCTATAAACTAGATGAAAATCCCGTAAACCGAATAAAGTCGGGCCAAACTGTTGATTTAGACCAAATCGATTCGAATTGAACCGGCATGGTCTAAAATGTTCTAGACCCATCGTCTCCTCATTTTATTTTCCCTTTTTCTCTACTCCCTCGCAAGCTCCAGGACGCGCGCCACCACCACCAGCGCCATGCCTCCCTGGCCACCTGAACTGACCGGACCACGGTCTCCAACGCACCACCATCAATCCACAGCACCTCCCTCTCCGTCCACGTTTCTTAAAAACGCAGCAGCGCCACAACTCAGCGCCGTCGATCCTAGTCATCGATCACGCTCGACGTCACGTCTCTCCCCGTTCGCGACTCCGGCGGCTAAGCACAGGCGGGATGTAGTTCTTCCTTGGATCGACAACGATGATGGCAGCGGCTATCGGCGCTCGATCTGGCCAAACGGGCCACTAACTCGATGAACGGACATCAAATCGGAGTTCTCCATGAAATTTCGAGCAAAATGGTGCAAGCCTCATGAAGCGTTGGTGAGGCTCGATTTTCCCGTCACCGTAGATGGCGGCGACAGCGGCGGTCCGGCGATACTCCGGCGAGGCACCAAAATGGCAGAATTCTCGTTTTCTCGTAGGCTATGGATTCGTCGTCTGATTTCCAATCGGTACACTCTAAAGCTTAGTTGCAATTTCTGAACAAATCTCGAATTAATGAATTAATGAATTTAATTAAGTAGCTAAATAAATTAAATTAGATATTGTTAAATATATTTCATAAGTATTAATTATGAGAATTTAGTTTGATTAAGAATGGGCCCGATGAATAGATTGTGTGAATTAAGTGACCGAATAAATGACGGTTATAGCGGATGAGATTAGTGGATATGAATTTGCTCGATGGATGGGCTGTGCATGTGGATTAATGAAAATTTGATAAATTGGATAGTACAGTTTATAGAGGAAATGCTGCCGAAATTTCGGCGAACACTTAGTAAAGAAATCCGTAATAGATACTACGACTAAAATGATTATCGTTAGTGATATTACATTATCAATCGTATTATTACTATTAATAATATTATTATGATCAATATTCGTATTCTTCTTAGCGTTATTATAAATATTACTTAACGGATAACTAAACGTTTTATTTAAAGGCGATAAATTAGAATAAATAAATAAATAAGGAAACCCAATATATATCTATAAATATCTATATAGTTTAAATTAATAAGTGAATTAAATGACTGGAAACCAAAACTAATAAATGAATATGAAAAAGAATCTTTGAAATTAAAATTCTTACTTAGAATTTTATTGTTTATTTTAGAGGTTTATAAAATTCTGAAATGCGAGGACAAAGGCTGGAAGCATGTGGCTACTGTGGGTAGTGTTAGAATTTTCCACTTACCCTGCATGATGTTTCCGGGATTGTTATCTGACTTTTATGAAGTGCCATGTATGAGTCAACCTAATTTGTTGAGTAGTAAAAATTGTGATGATTCTTGTGATTGATATACTGTGCCTTGTTTGTGTGGAATTGGGATGAAGTGACCCACCATGGGTTTTGGGTGAGGACGGTCTGTGGATGTGGATCCTAGAATATGATATGATATTGACCCGTCGGCCGGGAAAATGGGAGATTCGGCGCCCCCGTGTGGCAACCTTGATGATATGGGTTATATAGAACCACAGGTATGGCCTCTTGTTGTTGGCGGGCACCTGATAATCTAGATTTGATTGTAGCCCGCAGCGGTATGCCCTCCTGTTCGATGAGCACCTTGATGCACTGCTAGATTTGGGGCATGGAGACCACCTCGGGTTGCCTCCCTGTTGGTAGAATGGAAAAAGAAAAGAGAGAGATGGAAAAACAATGAGCAGGAACTGGTCAGTGGAAGGATAGACCAGTTGGCCCGTATGGGCGGATCGGCTCCCTGTGCCAGCATGTATGAGAGGGCGACGCCATGTGGTGAGGACGGTCCGTTGTGGGTTTTTCAGGTGGTGCCACTGACTAATTTCCAAACATGATGTGATTATATGAAGGTGATACATGAATTTGGTGATTGCTGTTGTATTGCCATTTGGTGTAGAAAAACTGCGGAGTGATGCAGTGAGTAACTAGAAGGGTGGGTGAAACCAACATTAAAATATTTTAGCATTTGTAACGATTGTGTTTGGGGTGAGAAGAGTTATGCTTAATTCCTGCCTCACGCTGAGTTTTAGTACTGCACGGCCCGCTTGCAACCTCGCCAGGTAATTAGACTGGAAAGAAGAATCCTCGGAGTCCCAAAAATGAACGAACGAGAATGTGGATCGATAAGAGTAAATAATTAATTGAATCATGTAAATGCAAAGGGGAAGCGAATTATCGAGTAGAGTTCCGCAATTGTACTTCCAACTGGGTTTGTAAATGAACAAATAGAAGTATAAACATTTAATTATTTGGTTGTATTTTGGATATAATCGTATGAAAAATAAATTACTTCGGGCCTGAATCCACAATTGTGATTAGAGAACTGCGAGGTTTTTAAATAGTACAGCGCTTACTGCGGGCTTCGGAGGGGCCTTAAGCCTTACCAGCGGAACATAGGAAATTAAATAGAGAACTCTTATGTTGGGATCGACCGTAACCAACAAAGGAGCTGTAGTCTGGATTGAATTCCATTTTAGTGCCGGTGGACGCATCGTGCACGAGGATGAAAGGAAATCTGTATGAAACTTAGGACGAGAATTAAAAGTACAGAAATAATAGTGAATTATAAAAAAAGAGTCCAGGTAACTAACGTTTATAAAATAAATATTTTCAGTTTTGCTAAATCCCCTCCATCTATTTTGAAGCAGAAGATCAGTTGGAAATTGGTGTAATGGCCTGATCACCTAGTACACCATGATTCAACAAGAGACACTGCTTCGAAAATTATTTGAAATGATTTAGAAAAGAATTCGAATTTTTAAAGACAATAAGAAAGTTTATTTGAACTATGATTTGAGAATAATGTTTTCATATTTGCTTATTGGAAATTGTTTTGAAGTTGCTATTAATTGTTTGGTTTTATTGTTTCGTCGGCATGTCAAAAATTTATTTGATTTTAGAATTTAAATTATTTACAATGATTGTATGTTTGATTTATTTTATCATATTGTTATCCCGAGGACTAAATTAGGCTTATAGAAATTAATACTGATAAATTAATAATAAATAGTATAGAATATGAAGTTGAATGATAATTTCAATTAATATATAGATTAAATTCTAGAAATGTTACGGTTAGGGAATAAAAAGTGGAAATTGTAATTTAAATTAAATTAAAGGTTAGAAAAGGATGATTTAGGACAAATAATCATACTAGACAAGAAATCCTCAATTAACCGAGGCGAAACTAAGAATGTAAAAGGATAAAATTTGTAAGATACTTAAATATAACATTGAGGAAAATAGAGACTTATTGGACGAATTAAATAGAGTAAGACATAGAAATGATAAATAGCGTCGAAGTACAATAATAGGTATTGACTGAAGTGAATCTCGACATATAGAATTTAAATGGAGTGTGCCTTGTTTGTGTGGAATTGGGATGAAGTGGGTCACCATGGGTTTGTGAGACTGTTACTGTTATATGGATCCTGACTCTGATTACCGTTACCGTTATATACTATTATTGTTATATGGATCCTGATATTGATTACTGTTAGCCGTGTAAATGGAAGATCGGCGCCCCCATGTGCACCTGATAATACTATTTATACTGAAACCACAGGTTGGCTTCTTGTTGTTGCGCACCGGATAATCTAGATTTGATCGCAGCTCACAAGGTGGCCTCCTGTTGTGAGCGCCTGATGATCTAGTAATTACAAGCCATGAAATAATTATGAATCTAATATAAGAAAATGAGCAATTAGGTTGAATCGATAATAGACTTATGGAACTAGTGTGTATGTAAGGGATAGTTGGTATAAGCAAAAAAATTTATAATGTAAAAGTCCAGTTTGTAATAAATGTATTAGACGTTATATAATTAAGATCCTAGCACATGTAGGATGCGTAATGTAAAAGATGATGAATAACATTAAATCATAAATAGGGAATGAATTAACCAGAGTATATAAAAAAATTGATGATAAAATAAATAACTAAATAAATAAAGATATAATAATAATAATAATATAAATATAAATTGCTGTATGGAAAGCTTTAATAAAATTAAAGGAAGATTGGATGTATCTAGGTAGAGAGTTATGTAGAAAGGGCTAATACTACTTATTAAAAATTTAAAGAAACATTTATATAAAAATACTGGCTTTAAAGAATTAAGTGCGAAATTAGATCGAGGTGCCTAAATAAAGATAAAATAAAAGTTTATAAATTCGGCAAGAGATAAGGTCAAAGAAATAACTCATAATAAAATGAAATAGAGAATTGAAAAGATTGAAAAATCAGAATAAGGGAATCTAAGAAGCAATGACTTTAGGATGGAATTAAATTTTGTGTAGAATGATGGTTTTACGATTCATGTATCCATAATTAAACTCTTTTATGGATAAGACTTAAATGAGGTTGGGTACACTAAGGAGATATGAAGGATAAAAGAAAGATTAAAATGAATCAAAAGGCTAAAGAATTTGGATAAGACTAGGGGATGTTAAATCGTAGACAAGCCGATGATGATCATATGGTCAATTATTCAGATGTAAGAAATATACATATATAAAAAAAAATGATGATAAAATAAATAACTAAATAAATAAAGACAAAATAATAATATAAATATAAATCATTACTGAAAATAACTTTTGGGAAAATTTAAGAAAATTAATGATGATGATAAGAATAAATAACTATAATAAAGAAAATATTTTTATACCACGATTGAGATTGGTTTAAAATAAAAGTAAATGCAAATTTCTATTAAAAGAATTTCAAGGTTTTGTGTGAGTGACATGCCGACGTTTTTAAAAGTGGAAAAGGAAAATTATTTTAAAAGTTTTTTAAATAGTCAGTTACCCATAGGATGGTCCACCTAGGCTGTAGTTGTTAACTCATTCGTCGAATTTTTGAATAAACGATTAATCTACCAATTTATATCAGTGAATATTAATAAATAAAGACTTAAATTGCTCAAAAATCCTTAGTAGACACATTTGATGAAAGGTTTGATATGAGATAACTAGTGTTGTAGACCATTATTATAAATGAACCCACTGAAATAAATTCTTTCTTAAGAAAAAGAGATATGACATCAATAAAAGAAATGAATTTATTAAGGTAGAAATTAGAAATTAACCTTGGTATAAAAAGATACAAGTTAGCTGAAACCTTTTGAAAAGAGGTATA